AACTTGCTACCACAGTGCTGACAAAGACCAAGGAAGAGCCTGACAGTAAGAAGTCATCTCCAATTCCAGTGGTGGTTAAAGCACCAACCGAAATGGTTGTTGTGGAAAAAGAATTTACCAGCGTGGGATTGTCCGAGACCATGGAAGAGCTTGACAGTCAGAAGTCTTCACTGGATTCTAGGAGTTCAGAGATTGCCATGGCTCAAAGGACCATACCTATTATGAAAACTTTCTCACAACAGATGCAAGTACCACAGACCGAAATTCAGAAAATTGAGATTGTTAGTGAAAGACAAACTCCAGTTAAGGTCGATGATAAATCAAGTGTCCCTCAAAAATTGAAATCTGCTGAGGAGAGTCAAACTACTTTCAGTTCAGTATGTGAAAAGTTTACTGTTCCAGCTGGTGGCATTCTGGACACATTTGTGCAACCATCAGAAAAATCTCTTCATTCTGAACCTTTGGAGTCTGTCCTTAGACCCATTACCACCATGGATAAACGTTCACATTCTGAGTTACAGGAGCCTAAAGCTCAAACTAAAGAGGCTTCAGGACAAGCCAAAACCATGTCTACAGAAAGGGACTTAAGTACAGTGCCTCGAACACAACCACCTCTCCCATCCCCGGAGGAAAAGTCTGTTTGGGATGAAGTGCTCAATATACAGCCAAATAAACAGGCCACTATACAGGAGCATGACATCACATCTGTTACAATAACAAAGGTATCAAGGATTGACGTAGATCAAAGAAGTATTCAGGGCGAAAAAGTGTCTGAAAACAAAGTTTTGACTTCAGGAGATGCTCTGCCACAAAAGACTGCAGTAAAGATGACCAAGGTAGTAGTGCGCACAGGACCTACAGAGGTCACGGAACATGGGATACAAGAAATGCATCCAAAAGTGTCAACACATGGTTTGCATGATCTACCCATTAGCCTGGGGGAAAAGTCTGTTAGGATAGAGAAAATCCAAATGGGGCTTGAAGTGTGCATCCCACCACTCGCTATACCAACCACTCTGGAGAAGGATGAAAACACATCAGTCACAAGAGCCAAAGAGCCAAGTATCGATACTGTTCAAACAAATATCCAGTGTGAAAGAGCTCAAAAAAACAAAGATAATACCTCACCTGATGTTAAGCCAGAGAAGGCTGCTTTTGAGAAAAGAGTAGAAGGGCAACAAATCACCATCGAAAGGCAAGACAAGGTGGCTCAGAGTGACTCCACTCAATCCACCTCGGTTGCTTCTGCAGCAGTACAGCCAAGTGAAGCAGAAGTAAGCTTGTCTGATCAAGACACTGTTAAACCAAGCGAAACAGTGACTAAACAGGAGCTAATTAAAACCACACAAGAAAGACCCCAAAAGGTCAAGGATTGCAAAGAAGTGCATGCTGTAGTGTCCACAAAAGACGTGCATGATTCACCCCAGAGCCTGGGTGAAAAGTCTTTTAAAAAGGGAGACATCCACATTAGTGTACATGAATACAAAACTGTCATGATAGAAAAGGAACCAAGGATGGAATCAAGTATCCAGTATGAGACAGTTACAGTGAGCAAGAAGGTTACCACCACTGGCATTCAGCCTGGCGAGTCTTCAGGTAAGATGACCAGGGTAGAAGTACGAGAAAGCTTTACCAAACCCCTGTCTGAATCCATGGTGGTCCCTAGCGCCCTAACGGAGAGACACACAACAGATGCAAAGGAAATTAAGAAGGAAGAAGAGAAGGAGGGAAAGAAGAGGACGACTCAGGGAGAGGAAATGGAAAATATGGTAAATGTAGAAATACAAAATGTTCCACTCTCAATGGCCAAGACCACCGCTTCAGGTGAAGTGAGGCTGCAGAGAATGGATTTGCCACAGGTGAGACATGGTCATTAGCTCAATTATCTGCAGTATTAATGATAAAGTGAAATTATTCTTTGGACTATTCACCTTGCTACTATGTTTTTTTGTTTTGTGGGCACTGAATTTTGGCACAGTTTGTTGTTAATTCTAAATGAGCTACCGTCCCAAAGAAACAGTTTGTGAAACTAATGAAACAGAACTAACTCACTACTGCATTGCATGTTGTGTTTAATACCGCATGCATCTCCACTGGTTAACCTACTCAAGTCAAAAGTTTCACTGTATCAGAGAAATGGACAACTGCTTCTCCTCTTCATTTGACCTTTTTCCCCTTCAGGAAATGTCAGTTTAACAATGCAGCACACATTTGTAACTGCAATAGAAGATAATACATACTCAAAGAAAAGAGAGAGAGAGAGAGAGAGAGAGAGAGAGAGAGATTCCAGTAAAATGGCTCTCTTGCATATACTTGTTTGCACTTGCTCAAACATTCTTGAGTATTTATGACTGATCAATGTACCTCAGTGCCTCAGGGTTGTAATATGAGCTTCCTCATGAATGTCATCACTGACAATCAAAGACAGACAGGCTTGGTGCCCTTCCAGAGAACAACTTCACACACAATTCAAGTGTGAATAGACTTGTTTCACAAAGAGAGATAGTTATTTTCTTTGCTCAACAGAAACAGTTTACAGTTGTAAGTCTGAGTTTTTTCAGCATTAATTCGGGTGTTTTGTTTTCACAATGGGAGAAGGTTTGCGAGGCGGACAAGATATCCCCCCCATCACTGCAGGCAGTTGTGAAATCATCAACTGACATTATCTGCGGCGAGGTAACTTTGGTGGAAGGATTGCCCTCTTGGGACAACAAAGCTCAAGCAGAAGCTGATGTTGTGAAGACTGAGGAACTTCTCCTGGAGGAACCAGAGGCACCAGAGGGATCCACCACGAGGAACATCTTCACACAAATACAGCTACTCTCTGGGAAAGGACCCAGCAGTCAACTCATTGAGGTATCGTTACTACTGTGCCACAGTGTCTTTTTTTAAAACTGCCCCTAGAAGTCACCATAGTTACACACCTAAACATACTGGCTTTAAGTGCAAGGTACTTTTTTAAAGAATATTGCATTTACTGTCAGCATTGCTGGTTTGGTCTAGCTCATGGTTGCGTTGTTTTGTCTCTTTTACGTCCTTCCTGTTGCTCCACTTTATACATAGTGAATTGCCAAAAAGAGGCATACGTATGTTCTAAATGCAGGGGAATTTAGCAAATTACATGGAATTAAATAAAAAAATGTGTTTCTTATAATGGCCCTAATTGGGCTAAACAGACTAAAGCAACATTGCTTTTTATATTGATCATGCTTGGACATCACCAAAACCCTTTTTGGGCCTCTGCTGGGTTTCTGAAACTCATTGATCTTATGTGCTTCTGTTTCATAAGGGTAAACCTTTGGAGGATGCTCCAGAGGCTCTGATTACATCCAGCTGTGATCTGGACAACCGCCTAAGAAGGCTGGTGTCTAAAGTCCTGAGCTGCAAAAACTACCCTGCTGAGCTCAACCGAACAGCGATGGCCCAGCAGCTGGAGGAGGCTCAGGTGCGATTCAAAATGACAGGGTGCATGACTCGCTAGGCAGTTTTTAAAAATGAATACAATTAGAATAATTGGGTTTACTTCTGCCTGCTGAGTACAGGAGTGCCGAGAGGCCGCCAAGGCCCAGGTGTTATTGCTCTCTCTGCTGAGGGGAGCTGATGCTGAGAACAAGTATGCTCTGGAGCACGTGGAGGACCAGTGGAGTACTGCTGCTCAGGATGCAGCTGCTGTTGTCCAGAGCAAAGAGGCCCAGCTGCAGCTGGTGAACGATTACTGCAGACAGACCCAAACAGCCAAGACCACACTGCAAAGACTCACAGCAGAACTGGAGGCTGTCAGAACGTGAGTTGTCATCTAGGGTGTCCTTTTTTACTGAAGGTTGCAGTTTAAGGCTGTGCAATATGTTGCGATATGAAACCAAGGAGGAGCAAGACTGGGTCAAGGCCAAAGGGGTCAGAGACTGGAAGAACAGGAGCTTTAAAGCCTTCTAAAGCTATATTTTTTAGATTAACATTGAATGTGGTTTAAATCTTTACACTCCCTCTCAAACTTACATCTTGTACAATCTGTAACATTGTAAATGGCGAGCACATGAAGACTTGACTGTTCTTTCAGGTCCCCAGAGGAGAGCAGCTCGAAGGAGGCAGAGCGACTATGCTCCCTACAGAGAAGTATAGAGGAGAACAGAACAGTACTCGGGGAGTTGCTTCTGACCCATACCAAGTTAAGCCCAAACCTCAGCTGGTCTGAGCGAGCAGCCGCACAGACTGAGCAGAATAACCTACAAGAGAAGTGGAGAGGCCTGGAGAGAGCTGTAGAAAGGACGCTGTATCACACAAATGTCCATTCTCACAACACCAGCAGCCTTCTGTCGACAATATCAGGTCTTCAGGAACATTTGGAGACAATCGGCAAAGACCTTGAGTCTTCCTCAGTTACTCAGTGGACCTGCAAGAAGGCGCAGCAGCTGATGGTTGCAAATGCTGAGGTTAAAGCTGCCCAGCAGAAATCCCTCCATTTGCAGCAGCTGTCTGAGGCGTTCCTCCTCAGGTCACAGAGGGAGAAGGATACAACAGAGATACAGCAGGGGCTTCAGAGGGTCAAAAATAAACTTTGCTGCACAGAGGAACTAGTGTCCTCTCAAACTCAGAACAGCAGCAGTCCCATCATGGAGAAAATTATCCTGGTGATGAGGGATGGCCTTGCTTGGGCGAAGACTACAGAGAGTGACATTGAAGGTAGGAGGAAGAGGGTGGCTCTCCTCCCTGAGGAGGTGCACCGCCAGCTCAGAGATCTGAAGAAGCTGCAGTCCGAGGTCATGGCCAAACAAGGCCAACTGGAGTCACTGGCGGAGGAGGTGAAGGAGCTCCTTCCGCAGCTGGACCAGGCCGAGGAGGTGCCCATGGTGCACTCCTCTCTGAAATCCCTTGAAGAACTCTCAAAGTCGACCACAGAGAAGCTAGCCAAGGCTGTGAGAGAGCTCGAATCAGGACTGCAGACCAGAGAGAAACTGTCAGAGCAGATCGTCGACCTGGACTCCTGGGTTTTGGCTCATCTGCATAGGGAGGCCTCCAGGAGTCCAGACAGTGAGCTCAGGAGCCCGACTGAACTTGATCGTAGAGTTCGTCAGATCCGAGAGACCCTGGCGTTGGCTGAGAAGCAGGCCACTGTCTGTGAGGCTCTTCTGATGAAGAGCAAAGACATCACCTCTGAACTCAGCATCACGGAGAACTGTCAGCTGTTTGACAAGCTCATCGACCTCCAGGAGGACATCAGAGCCATCAGCAGCTACGAGAAGGCCAACAAAAAGGAGCAGGAGGAACTCACCCAGACTGTGGATTCAAGCAAGAAAAACCTGGCCACCATTGAAACGAGCCTGAGGCAGATGTCAGGAGATCTGAGACGACACAGGTTCCCCATCACAAGCGAGTCCCTGCAAGCTTTGGAACCTTTCAAACACGTGATTTTGGAGCACAAGTCCCAGGTTGACCTTCTGCAACGGTGGATTCCCAGAGAAAAGACGAAGGAACTCTACTCAGTTATTTCAGAACTTCTCAGCAATATTGTCACTCTGGAAATGAAAGCCAGAAGTCATGAGAGGTACCTGAACAAGAGGCAGTGTGTGGAGGACCTCAGGGAGCACGTTGAGGAGCAGGTCCGTCAGACCAAAGACGACAGCAAGGCGCTCGAGGACAAGTACAAGATCTGTCAGACCCTCCTCGTCCAGCTTCCTCTCATACAGTATATGTCTGAGGAGGCCGGCCAAGAACTCCAGGTGATCTCCGCCGATCTTTACCCCTCACAGCTGAGCGCAGAGGGACAGAGACTGAAGCAAAACGAGGGAAGCCTGGACACGTTGGAGATGACGCTCTACAACAACCTCAGCATCATAGAGTGGAATCTGCTGAAGGAACTGGACCTTGACTCAGAGAGGGCAGCCACTCGGGCCTTCCTTTGCAAGACCCAGCAGGAGCTCCAGAAAATCCCCACGCTGGAACCCAACGAAATAGTAATTAACAACCAATACCAGATGATCATGTCTTTGAAAAAGACTGTCGAGTCAAGAATGAGAGCACTGGAGGTTCTCGAGCAGAAGAAAGGAAACAGACAAGGAAGTGGATCCCAAGATCTGATCGACTTGAAGATTGCAGTGCTCAATGAATGCGACTCACAAATGGCAAGTTTGTTTTTTATCCTTTTTGTGACTTTTCAATAAGTGTAGATAATCATATCATTCTGTGTCAGACAACTTTCAGTGTCTTACATTATTTTATTCATCATGATAAAGTGAAACACACCTTTCCTACACTATGTTGTTTAAAAGATCATGTTCAAATCATTTGACACTAAGTCAGAATCCAAGCCAGAACTGCAGAAATCTTGATATAAGTGTGTCTGAGACAAAAACGAATCTGTAATTTAATAATTTTTTTAACCATCAGTAGTGATAGACATGTAAAGCTGAGGATGTGTCAACACTGCTAGAACAGGAAGAAGGAAGATGTTGTATTATAAGACAGGACAGGCCAGAGCTAGCTGGTTAACTAACTTGTTAGCCTGCTCATTTCAGTAGCTATCTCTGCAACACAATACATCGATGTCTTTACACTGTAACCTCTTCACGTCCTGTAAACCAAAACTGGATTGCTATAGTCCTATAATATGATTAGAGTATGTAATTAAGGCGTGTTTATTATATTTTAGGAGAACATCTCTCAGGCTAAGGAGTCTCTGAGAAGCTACACGAGTGCTGTTAGACAAGCAGCTCAATTCCTGAGGGACATCGAGGTTTCTCTGCTGCCGCCGCAGGGCTCTGCTGGACTCTGCTCCGAGAGGCTAGAGGAGACCCAGCAGGCTTTGGCCTCGCTGCAGCAGCAGTTCCAGACCCACGTGGAGCAGCTCCAGAGCCAGGACGCCTTGCATCCTTACCTGTCCCCCCAGAGGGTGCAGCAACTCCAGGAGAATATTCTGAGCCACCTCCTGGTGAGGATGTCCACCCTACAGGCAAAGGGACACATGCGACTGGAGTGTCTCAGCAGGTATTAAGGCTGATTTTAGGCCGATTTTCTCAATTCTCATGTCTGAAAGATGCCAGTGTATGTGAGTGGAAGCAATATCTCCTTCCTATTGGATAACCCATCAACATTTCTGTCTTTCAGTTGTGCAGAACATTACAGAAAATACACCAAGAGCCAAGATGAAATCATCCAGAGTGTGCAGAGCGCAGTGAGCAGCCTCTCACAGTTCATCAGTCAAAAGGTCACCTGTCACGCTGACTGCACTGACCAGCACACCAAACTCAGAGTACGTGTGAGACTTTCAAGGTTCACCGATCCGGGGATCCGAACTTTTAACCCCTCTGTTGTCAGAACGTGAGAAGAGTAAAGCGTTCAAGAAAAATAGATCGAGATAATGTTTATCAGCGTTTTGTTATTTGAGGTTTTCTTCTTGCAACTGTTGATTTCTTTCTCTTGTTTTAGATTCTAACCTCATAGTTAGATTGATCACTGTTGCTCCTTACGCACGATGGCGTAATAATTATGGAGCCAAAGGAGGGGGTTAATATTCAGAGAAAAAACTCGGAATATGCGCGATTAAAGTCTTACATTTCCGGATTTTGTTTCCTTCTGGATACGGCCAATTCACGTCAATGTCTCTTCAAAGTCCGGATGCTTATGATGATATGGTGATTCTGGGCAGAAATCACAAATATTTCCTTCTTGCAAAGTATAATTTGAGTTTTTTGTCACCAAATTATGACTTTATAATCTCAGAGAATATTCAAGTTTTATCTTGGAATATTGCTCCTCTCCCCCGGTTTTGTATACATTTTATTTTGTTGCCTGAAATGGCCCTAATACCCCATCCTACCATATAATCTCCACTTACAAAACTTACTTTGATTGTGCAGGTTCTGTCTGAGGAGGTGGAGTCCCTGCAGAGGCGTCTGGAGGAGGTGAAGGAGTGGTGCCCGGAGCAGAGCTGTCGTGGAGGCAGGGAGGCCGCCGTGGCTGCTGTCTGGAAACAAGTATCAAGACTACGGCGCTGCACACAAGAGCTGACGACTCGTAGTGAACGGAGGATTGCAGAATGGATCCAAATCACCAACAGTGTAAGTGAAAATACAGTAAAAAATCTGGGATTCTTAATCATCTTTTTAAAGCAGTGAATATTTAGTAATAGCTGTTTTAAGAATAAACATAAGTTATTGGGGTGTCTTTCCAGTCAAAGTACTTAAATCAAACTGAAGAAACTTTTAGCAGGTGGCAAATTCCACCTGTTCTTTAAACTGTTATTATGAAGAGTGTGGTTCCTCCTCTCAGGCGAAGAAGGCCTCCGCTCTCCTGGAGCAGGTGGAGGCAGAGCATCCCGATGGATCCCGGGTGAAGGCCTCCACCGAGGACCTTCAGGACCTGCTGCAGTCCTGGGAGCAGTACCAGGACAGACTGGACTGCGAGCATCGAGCCCTGTCCGCATTGGAACTGCGCGCCGCCAGGCTGCTGGGTGTCCCTGCCCACCTGGAGCAGGCGCCACCCGCTCCGCTCTGTCAGCAGCTGCAGGCGATGCACGGTCGCTACGGCAGGTAAGACGGAGTCTGAGGTGCACTGCATCTACATCACTGTGGCTGAAGAGTATAGAGGACCATTTTGCTTTTATGTCTCATGGAAACAGTCTCTTCACAGCTGATGATACTTCACCTACAAACCTTCCTTTGCTCTCTTTTTGTTAATGTATAAGTGAACCCTGTTCATAATGATTTCCACTCTTAAAAAATGTAAATTTTGAGGAGAAAACTCAGTTACCCATAAGCCCTGCTACGCCCGACTAAGCAATCAGGGGAAAGTGGGTTGGACGTTGCAGTGCCTGTGAGGCTGTGCAGTATTTAAAGCCACAGTTCTTTAACTGCCATGACGCTCTGTGCTTTGAATTTAAAGGTGGATTTTATTCTTGTGCTTTGAATTTAAAGGTGGATTTTATTCTGAATGCAAACTCACTTTTAATGGATTTAAGGTAAAAAGCTATAAAGTTGTCAAATTGTTGGACGCATGTGTTTTGTGTGTGTTTTTCCCCCAGTGTGAAGCAGAGGAGCAGGGAGGGTTTGAAGGCGGCCAGGATGGAGGTGGAAGAGAGAGAGCGGGTTCGGAAGGAGCTGCAGGGCGTTGAGGTTTGGCTGCAGGCTGCAGATGCTCTTCTGTCAGAGATGGAGCAGAGCAGCAGCACACAGGAGCTTCAGGTAGGACGCTCCTCTCAACTAGTGTTCATCAGGGTTTCAGCACACCTTCTGCTTGTTTTCTTTGGTCAGAATCCTGAAAAAAAAGGTTCATAGTTACTTTACGGCACAACAGCAGTGCATTTATTTAGATTTCCTTCATTTTATTGGTGGGTTCATTCATTCAGCGCAAATGTTGTTGCTCTCTGAGAATCACTTCGCAAGGACTCACAGAACTTCATTCATTTCATGCTGCAGCAGCAACTAACACCAGCACGTTTCAACAAGATGTTTCATTTTGAACCATTTCTTCCCGCATACATTGCTTTGTTTTGACGAGGCTGTATGTGACCTCTGGCTTGAAATTGTGAGATGTCCCGATGACCTTACTGCTTTCTGCAAATATGGTTTAAAATGAACTATTTTGGCTAAATGGAAACAAGTTCTCCATCCGTAGAAGGATGATTCACAGTATTCTGATGGATGATTTGAAAGATACGGGCACCATCATGGAAATAATCTACAATATACATTTCTATCTTTTTTCTTCTAATAGCAGATAAACGACGGCATATTAGAGCCGTTGTAGGTAAAAAAAACAAAAACGTAAATAAATAAATAAAATTTCAGGTGGGGTTAAACTGTTGTTTTCATCATAGGCCCAATTCACAGCAATGTCTCTTCAGAGTCTGTATTCTTATGATTTTAGCTCAGAATCATATTATCGTGAGTGTTTTGAGCTTTACTTATCTAAATCTGATTGCAAAGTATAACTTGATTAGTTCGTCCACTGCAGGCGTAGTAGTACACAGCAAGCAGCGGCGTCTGTGGTGCGATGAGGTTGATCCAACTTCATCCAAAGTGAAGTGACAATTTTACACAATTTTCTTTGCCTCTTTAATCTTAGAAGTTATTGTTTTTTTTTCTCCTGAATTGTTGTGGCCTTTCAAAGGAATCTGGGAAAATAAATCCAGTTTTCCTTGTAAAATCGGCTCCGTAATGAGCCCCCCTGCCCCAGGACCCTCTGAAGGTCCTCTGGGTGTCTCCAGAGCTCCTTCATCACAGTGTGCTCAGAGTTGGAGTGATCTCTCCCTCCAGCCAGTGGAGTGTAAATAATGAGTCTCTAATGAGAGAGGTCTGAACTGAAAATACAATGATGCGTTTGTTCTCACTCTCGACAACATTAAAGTTCATTGCTATTTTTATAAACAGCACATGAAACACACTTGTCTTTAACGTTGAGTGAGAAATGTCCAGTACCTTCTGGAAATGATGCCTTATGAACATTATGACCCAGTCTCAATACAGTTAGTGTGTTAATGATTCTCATCATTAGCTGGCTTACTGAAAGTAAAGGTTTTGATCTCAGTGTTGCCACTGACATACATATTTTAAAAAGTGGCTCCTTAGATCTGCAGATCTAAAGCTTTTAACAGTTCTGAATAAATGCAGCGAGAGAGAGAGGCAGCTGTCCAGTAAATATGAACCGTCTGAATCTAACCGTCGGCTTGGCCTCACGCCCGACAGGCTCGTTGGTGTTTGGGTTCACGTCTATGAACCCACCAACCCGCAGAATCCCTCTGCCATTTGTCCCCAAACCTGAGCAGAGGCCAACGTCTCCCTCCCCATCCACTCCAGCTTTCTCTCCAAACACACACACACACACACACACACTCCCCTTCCCTTTGCAGAGGGTCTGTGTTGATGAAAGACCTGAACCCCCCCCCGGCCCTCTCCCGCCGCAACCCCCCCCCCCCCCCCCCCTCCATCACCCCCCACTGCCCTCACCCCTCCTCTTGTTCCACCTTTTGTTCAGTGTTGTAAGTGGATCTTCCAGGTGGCCTTTGTTAGCCGAGTCATTCCACGGACACGCACACATTTCTACGGTACTTGTGAGGCCATTCATGGACATTATGCATTCCCTCGGACCTGACCTCAATGAAAACTAAATTGTAACCAAGTCTTAATCCTTAAATACCCGTTTCAAGAAGTGAAGACCTGTCCTCCTCTTCCTAAAAGCGTTCTATTATACGTATCTATTCTACAGACTTTTCTGAAATCTCCTAATGTTTTTAAAATGTTTCCACTTTCATAAAATGTTCACTCACCTAAAATGTCCTCACTTTCATTATATGTACAAACGTTTTGAAAACGTCCTCGCTTCTCCATTGTAGACATACAAAAAAATACCCTCTCTTCCTCCCATCCTTTGTATCTTACACACACACACACACACACACACACGCACACACACACTCAGTTTCCCGTCGTGATAACAAGCTGCACCTCCCTCTTCATCAGAGCGTCGGATGTATTCAGACCCAGGTAGTCTCCTTTTGTATCATCTCTCACGTTTTAACACGTCTTCTTATTTAATGTCGGCTGTTATTGTAAAGTAGATTCTGGTTGAATTGAACAGAGTTCCCTCTAACTGCTGTTGTGTAATTTAACTACTTTGAAGAGGTTAGGCTCTGTTTGATGAAAGCAGCTGAGGAGAAAAAGAGCTGACTGCCGGACAAAGACTGAGATCTTACAAGCGTCTTGCTGGGTTAGAGATGTGGATCAGATCGATGTCTGTGTCCTTTAGTTCCGGAATACTGCAAGATTTCCACCATTTGACTGAAAATGGAAATTACAACCTTTCTGCCAAAAGTGTTGCTGATGTTGAGGCCTGTGGGAAAGTGAGGCGTCACTGTTTGTTAACCATCTGCTTACAAGTCTTTTTTTAAGAAGGTTTTTTTTAAAGTGTCAAAAGCTACGGAAGCCCTGAGAGGACAGTGAAAAACAAAATCTAACTCTGATCTAAATAGTTTTCTCTCTTGTGTTTACTCAAGAAAAAGTTAAAGACTACACGTTTTGCCATTATAATCTTTTTAAGTTCTTTACATTTGACACAAAATTTTGTGGGGATAAATTTATTCGTGAGTGTTGTAGTACTCATTTTAGCCACAAGAGGAAGAAGTGCACCAATACCCCAACTCTTTTTTAAAAAAGGACTAAAAGCATTCATGTTTTCTTCAAGGTGAACTTATATTTACATAACTTGCTAACACACAATATATGTACTTTGTGTTTACACAAGTCTTCTGTCTGGTTGTAGGAGGTTCACAGCCAGCTGTGTAACCAGAAGGCTTTGCTGCAGCGCATCATGGAGAGCCTGAAGATGAAGTACTCTGACATGTACACTCTGGTCCCGGTGGAGATCGACGGCCACATGCAGGAGGTCACACAGTCGCTGCAGCAAGTAGAAGTCAAGGTACACGAGGAAAATTGATTTTAGCAATATACACAACACAATGAATCACAAAAACAAAGATGTACAGGTAAGAGTTAGAGAGTGTTTGTGCCATAATACAGGGAGAGGTGTTACACATTAGAACTACTGCACGAGGTACTTGTTGTTATTGTTATACTAGTGGTAGCTGGAACCAATGATCTGATGGGATCACATTTGTAAACGGCTCAGAAATGACTAAGAAAGAAGAAAATCCTTAAAAATACAACTTGAAGTTAAAGATAATTACATTCAGACATTGTTCACAATGCTGGACACTCAATAAACTGACCATTAACACACATGCATTTAAACAGTGTAGACAGGATGATCACGTGTCAGAGCTCTACAGACCCGACGACTAAAACAAAACCTGTTGTCCTCGTGTATTTGTTGACCTTTGTGCTCGATTCATCCGTCAGGTGGGGGAGGCTGTGGAGATGAGCGGCCCCGTCTACAGGCTGGGGGCCAAGCTGTCTGAGATCCAGGCCGGCCTGACGTCGGTTCAGAAAAGACTTGAACAGAGAAGTCCCAACATGGCTCAAGCTAAGGTCACCCAGAAGGTGGGCAGCTGACGTGGCCGGATTATTGTCCCTTCTTTCAGATAAGAGAATGAAACGACTAGTAATGTGTAGAAATCAGGTGGATAATTAAGTGTAGGGACAAAGTTTGCTTTCAGATGCTGCCGTTTAAGTCCTGGAAAGCTTGTAGCTGCATAGCAAAGCTTTCTCAGAGCTGCAAAGGATGAGGAATGTTAGTTCTGCATTCAGTCATTTGGAAGGGCATGAAAAGACTTAAACTTAGTCCTGATAGTTTTACAAAGCCTGTAAAAGATTTCAATTTGGTTTGTAGTGTATTTTGGGGCTTTGTCAAGAACAAATAGGAACATTACATAAGGGACATGCACCTGATTCTCTTTAAGTAGACTCACATTCTCACGATAATACCCGAAGTCTCTCCCAATGCAGTTTGCTTGTATTTCAGATTTACCACCTTTGTAGGTTTGTGATCTTCGAATGGTTGTTTTTGGCTCATGTGGATACATGATTGATTCAGTATGTTCGTGTCCAACCCTTGTGGGTTTTGTAAGACACCAAAGATCCAGCTGCAGCGGTCAAACATTTCATTACATTACAAAAGGACATGTTCTTTCACCACTCAGTCTTAAATGAAGTATTCTGCCTTCTCTCCCGGGCTTGGCCAATAAAATGTGCTAGAAGAAAGGTTCCTTTCCAGCCAAAAGAAATCAACATAAATTTAAGCTTACACATAAACCTCAGAATCTGAATGCTGTTTAAGAGCTTGACAGTTTTTTTTGTTATTTTAAATAAATCTTGACGTGTGACCGTGTGTCTGCGCTCAGCGTGCGTGGGATGAGCTGGACGTGTGGCACTCGTGTGTGGCGGCGATGGAGGTGGACATGCAGGACTTGGAGAAGCCAGAGGAGGTGCTGATCCTCACCGAGAGGCTTGTGGAGGTCCAGGAGCTGCACTCCCTTCTGGCCAAACAGGCGGAGCAGAGGACCACCCTCATCAGCAAGGTCAGAAGGCCCCTCATATCCCATCAGTCCTCTTTTCTTCACATCTTACACCGCTTGTATTTAATGTTGTCCGTCTAATTCCCTGCTTAAGATTTCTGAGTCATAATTACAGGCTTTCAAGTCTCCAGATTTGTTTGGTGTCAAACAACAAATGTGTGTATCGATTGTTGCTTAAATCTTAAATCACGCATCCCAGAATTGTGCATTTCATTCATGTTTATACGGGCTAACATCTGATGCTTAGTATCACTCATATTCTTCCATCAGCACTCCTTAGCAGACCATTTAACTCTAAGACCGCCAGGATTCAGGAAGCTTTCTAAGAAGAATCCATGAGAATGAAACCAACACTGAATGTTTCCTGTGATTATTTATATATGTTTTTCTGTGATGAAAGCGATAATGGAAGCTGTTTTATCTGATCAAACTCCCAAGTTATCGATAATAAATGTGTGTCAGTTGTTTGTTCTTTCTCAATGAAGGTTTTAAAGTGAATGCTGTTTTGTGTTGGTGGTCAGATCCACACGTGGCTTCAGCAGCATCAGGAGATGATCAGCAGCTCTAAGAGCTGGATGACCGAGGCCAAGTCGTGGCTCGCTACCCCCTGCACCTACACCACCGCCAAATGTCTGAGCAGCCATGTTCACACTCTGCAGGTCGGTGCTCCAGCTTTTACTTCACTCTATTTCTAAGCTACTCTATGTAGCGCATTCTGCAGGAGAATTGTCTGTAAAGAAATCAAAAAATACTTCTCGATGGCTCGTAACTGAAACACGTTTGTCTTGGGTTGCAGATGGTGCTGGACGACTCGGCACAGATCCGAACCACGCTGCAGGGCTTCGGCTCCATCCTGAAGGAAATGTCTCAGGTTTGCGACGTCACAACTCTCCAGGAGCAGCTGGACGAAGCCGATCACCAAGTGGCCATCGTTCAAGACGGCTTCACCGCTCCTCTGTCTCACCTGGGCCACGCTGCTGCTGTGAGTCGTCCTCTTTATCCTTTTTTATTATTATTTGAATCCTCTTTGAACTCTTCAAACTCGAGATGCGCTAACCCCTCTGCTCGTGTGCTTATCTGTTTTGGAAATGGTCAAATGTATGGATCGCTGTCTAGGAGGTGGAAGCCATTGAGAGTGAAGTCAGACGGATGGAGAGCGATGTGGCTGAGGTCAAGACCTTACTATTGTCTCCAGAGACTTTCCCCAGCCCCAGAGAAGAACGCCTCAAGGTGAGACACGGCGAAGGAACTATCCTTTTTATCTGAGCTTCTCCTTTTATATCAATGTGGTTGTGATTGAAACTGATAAAGCGATTTTCAACTCCAGAGTCAGTCAAAGGCGAGTTTCTGAGGTTTTTGTCCAGTGTCTGTGTGTCTGAAGGCCCTTGTTGTGCGTACAGGTCATCGAGCAGAAGATCCAGTCCATGAGGAGGACCATAGCTGAGATCCAGAAGTGCAAACCAGGCCTTTGTCTTCCAGAGAAGGCTGAGGAGACTTTGGTTGTCTTTACTGTAGTGGACAAGCTCCAGACTCATCTGCTTGAACTGGAGAAGGTCAGTCAGTCAGTCAGTCAGTGAATCAGTCATTTAGTAAACTAGAAGTGGCCTTCACTGAACCCTCTGCTCTACTCCTCTTGTAGAAAGTCCCTGCTCTGTTCTTCCAGCAGCCTGCGACTCCGGTCCAATCCAAAGCTCCGTCAGCTCAGCAGAAGACCTCTCAACCTCGACTCCTCAAATCCGCTTTAGCGGAGGCCGAGGTGAGTTTACTTCACTTTCCATTTTAAAAAGTTGTAAATGTTGTCAGTGTTTGAGGAGAAATATCAACGTAACTTTTTTGAATGTGTTAGTTTTATCCAAAGTACAACGACTGCTTTAGTTAATTCAGAGTGTTGATATAGCAGCAATAACTATTTTCTGTGTAAAGATTTAGTGGATTGTTGTCTAAAACAAGAGAGAAGCAATGTAACAAAAGCTGCACTTTGTGCGTTCTCTCAGAAGAAAGACGTGGAGCAGGGACAAATCAGAGTTGTCCATGTTAAAGAGGACATATTAACGGGATCCGGAGCGTCGCTGCTGACCGTGGAGCGGTCCTCACCTGAGCAGACACCTGGCAGCACTCAGGTAAGGAAGCCGCAGAGCCACGCTTCTGCTTTTGTGAAGCACTTTGTTCTGCTGTATAATAAATACTTAGTGCCACCAAGCGTCACGGTGAAATAACACCTGTGATTTCATCACCTACAGTGTTGAAATGTGCCTCTCTGATGGTGGAACACAGTGTGGAGGGATTGAGACTAACATGCCCGCTAACCCATCCGTCCATGCGTTTTTAACAAATTGTAAATGGTGTGTTTTTCCCTCTGCATGCTTAATACCGCTGTCCGATCGATCAGACAATTTTCAATCGATTTCTATTTTGCTTTTATTTTGCCTTGACGCATCCCATTGAGATTCATAAGGGAGGCCTGGGCAAGACGGCAGCATAAAGAGTTTCACATAAAAAGAACAAACAGACTTAAAACAAACAGCAAATTACATCAAACAATGAATTAACCGTGTTTAGCAATAGGAAACGTGCATTCAGTGGTCAAATACTCCTTAATCCTGCAGTTATAATCTTCCATGCTTACTGTATTGGCTCATATTCCTCCCAAATAGTTTGATCGGTGGTCTCTATGAAGGCCGATCAGAGTACGCAGAACAACGTATAGACAATTTCTCTACGTGACGCTAAAATGAGTTGTGAGTCTTAGACAGAGAGGAGAATATGTTGCATTTGTTGACTGCCAATAAACAAACAGCTATACAATGCTATTAAGAATAGTTACATGAATAAACAATGCAACATGACAACCAGAGGGCGTCAAATAGACCCGTGATCGGTGCCCCCCCCAAAACATCCTGATCGGAGCACCTTTAGAAATGAGTGTGAGTGTGCGCTGAGTCTGTGCAGAGAGAGGGACATCGAGCTGCAGTCCGTGGTGTTCTGTGGACTTTATGAGCAGAAAGACATTAATTGTGAGATTCTAGTTGAGATCTCACAGTTTCTAAAAAAAAATAGCAAATATTTTCGGCTGAATTTAGAGCAACATGATTTAATACGATGTGCAACGTGTTTAGATGTTGTTCATTTGAACTATAACACAATGCAGTAGTTCATAACACAATGTTGCACACCTTCAGTTTTGTTTAGTTATTGTTCAGTGTTAGGATTTATTTTGTAATAATTGCTTGATCTGCATTTATTTTAATTTCCCGAACCCTCACAACCTCTCTTCAGAGGCGATGAAGCTTCAGTTCTAACGTAAACAATAGCAGTTATTAGCAGCAGCAGCTCACTGTTGACCTCCTCCCCTGTGACTCTGCACATGAGCGTGTTTCCGTGTCAGCAGAGGGAGCGTCCCGTCGGGCTCCAGGCTGACGGAGCCACAGAGAGATCAGGGAGTCAGGAGCAGAGAGTGGAAGGAGGTGGAGGAGGTGTTTGGTGGTGGCTCTGGGATGCTTTCCTGGCCGCTTCGCCAGAGGTAATGAAGATCTAAAGCTGCTGTGAAAAAAAACAAAAAACACTTTCATCCATTTTTTCTGTCTCTGTCCTACATCTGTTGTTTTGGTCGCCCCCCCTTCCCCTCCTCCGGAGATCCTTGTGACCCAAGGTCAGCAACTTACAATGTAGGTGGGAGGTAAATTATAGGAACAAATTATTTAAAATTGCAAATACACCTGAGGCATTATGACTAATCCCATTGGCATAAATCACAACAATCTGGTTCCAAATCAATCATTTCTAACAGCTATAAGATCTGACCTTTTCCCACCTGGATCACTCTGTTCTCCACGTCACTGCTGGTGATGAGTTCCCTCAGCTTCCCTCACCTCTACTACCATCTCCCTGCTCATCACATCAGCTGCTTCCACAAACCTCCTACTGTAACCTCCCTGCACACGTGTTTCTGGATGTTGTTCTGCCTCTAGAGAGCAGTGTTGAACAGTGGTTGTAATTTGTGGCGCTGCAGAGTAAATGAATCATTTTAACTCGTAAAATGTCACCAACATCTTTCTCTCTTTCAGCCATTAAGCATATCGCTGTGGTTGTTTGTATCGACTTTAAATATATGTCGTTGTTGGTGTTAGGTACCTGAAGAGACTGAAGGTGCCACTGGACAGAGCACTGGACAGACTGGAGAAGATAGAAAGGTAACTCAAACTTGTAATAGGATAACTCTGGTGATATTATCTATTTTCATATTGGTAACAAATCTTTTCAACAGACCAAAACCAACAATGAATTGATCCGAGTAAAGATTCTAGCCTGATATTCTATAGAGCTCCGCTATAATCTAAAAACTATTGAAACTCACTGTTGTTCCTTCATCGCCATGAACACACACACTGTACTTTATATTGACTCAGTCCCACACACACCGCCATGTTGCCACGTATGCTCACTAGAGCACCAAATCCTACCCGATAGTGGAGCAAAGGGTCATGAGGCTCACGGTTCAGATCAGATCAAGGATCAGAGTCACAGATCGGATCAGCACAAAACAAAGGAGCAAATATCACGTTTTAAAAAACTACCAATGAGAGACATTGAATTTGTTTCTCAGTACAGAAGATTATACAATATAACAATGTCAATAACATGATGTAATACAATTCCTTAACAGAGTGTATAACTGTGTGAATCCATATCTGGTGGTAACCCTGAAGACTAAATGATCCTCGTGTTTAACTGACTGACCTGACTGATCTTCTAACCCTGCCTCATGTTTCTTCAGGATGTTGAGGGCCCCACTGAAGCAAGTTCATCTGAAGCTTTATCAAACCCCCCGGGCACAGTCACAACTCAGTCCCTGCCTGAGAGCATGGTAAACACTGCAGCCTCCACCGTTAAAGTCTCCAAAGCCGTCTCTGGGCCCCAGCAGAGCTGTGTAGTCTCCTAGATCTAGAACCTGTATCTCTAGAAACTTCTTCTTGTTCAAAGCATTTGACTTTCAGCTTCTTGTAGAGCTGAGTGCAGAAAGGCCACCCTCCAGAAGCAAGCCTAGATTCCACTGCTTCTTCTAGAATCAGATACTTTTTTTAAATGTGTTTCTCTAGAGCCAATCAAACAACTCCCATTTATTCATTCTGAAACCAATCCTAGAGCCTCCAACCTTTTCTAGAGGCTACCCTAGGATCCCCATGTGTCCAGACCTGCCATTCCTTCTAGAACCAAGTCTAGAACACCAATGTTTACAACCTATCTTAGATCTCCCACCTTTATCTAGAACCAACCTTTAAATGCCTCTTGAATTATGTCCTCTAGAATACCAAAGAGGACACTTAAGAATCCCCTTTCTTCTACAAGAAACTAAAGTAGAGATAGATCCAGGTCTAGAATTACCACTTCTCCGAGACACAAGTCTAAAGCTCAGTTGTCTATTAACAGTACAACCTGTAGATCTCCAAAGGATCTCTTCTAGAGCCAGCCATAGAACTCCAAAAGTCTTCTAGAATCAAGCCTAGATTTCAGGACTTCATCTAGAATCTTCTAGAACAAGAACTCCTACAGTACTTATTGTGGGATTCCATAATTCTTCTAAGCCAAAGTCTATACGCCCTTCATCTACACTCAACTCTAGAGCTCAACATGTCCAGTAATGTCTTCCTAGAACTGATGCTTCCTTCCACAACCGAACCTCCGAACTCCTCACATGTTCTAGAACCAAATCTAGATCCTCATTTTCTACTAGTGTCTAGAATCCTTGTAGAACAAGTCCTTCATTTGTTTTCTAAAACCATTTTCTCTACAACCAAACTCATCACCTTCTAGAACCAAACCTAGAACCCTCATTTTCCTAGAACTAAGTCTAGAGCACCTGAAACATTCTAGCACCGAGTCTAGTCCTTCAGGTTCTTCTTGAAATGTCTGAACCCTCAGTGCATTTACATGGCAGAGATATTCTAGATATTGGCCTCCAACAGTTTTCACATTTGAATCAGTGTGTCTTACTGCACTAAGGAAATAAAGCTCATCAGATGTGTGCCAAAGATGACTTTGTCCTAAATAACGTGTGTTCACTTGAAGGCTTCCTGAGCTTCATCCTTCATGTGGTTCAACATGACAAAGCACATTATGTTTGAAGCTATGTGGGAAGTGGTTGTCGGGGTTTCTATTTTACCTAAAAACAGACAGCAGACTGCGGCTAGTCAGCATGTCGGGTGGAAGGTTTTTGGTCTCTTATAAGCTTTTGCATGGACCTTAATTCTGATGGGTTAAAATGTTTTTTATAAAAGGCATATTTTGTGATGAATGGTGATTTGAACGAGTTTTACCTCTTTGATTGTTGACGTTTCATTTGCTATCTGAGCTCATTTACCGCTGGTGCAGAGCGCTATTTGTTACAATAAAGGTTGCTTGCCTCCACGCATTTGAATTTCCATAAGCTGAACATGATAATAAATTGTTGTTTACAGAGTTTATTGATTAAATTGCTCAGTCATTGCCTGGCAGTGGGAGAGAGAGATTCCCGCTTTGTTTTGAATCAGAGGATTTACTTTCATTCTCCACAGCGCAGATTTAATACTTAAAGAAAGTTGCCTTCTCTTAGATGACTGTTGGCCATGAAGATGCACTGGTTTGACATGATTACTGATTAACACGCAGCTGTTAACAGGTGAAAACCATGTAACTCCAAATTCTTTTAGTTTAGCATTACTTAATTGGAGTAATTATACTCTAATAATAATACAAATGATATTGTTTTTCTTGCTCTTGTGCAAATAATTTTAAGGTTTATTTATAATTTCATCAATATCAACCCAAGAAAAGTAATAAGACAAGGTTTTCACCTGGAAGCAGCGGTACTGAGATGTCTTACGTTACATGGCATGTGCTGTACTTTGTACATTGTTCCACTTTTGTCTTTCCATTCTGTCTACATCCAAACAAGAGCACAAACACAAATAAACCCGCAGCAGTGATCCACTCCTCCGTCTCTCTTTCTCTTGTGTCAGGAGCTCATGAAGGGACAGAGGGGGCTTGCATGGAGGGGGGACGACCCAGAGGGGCTGAGGACAGTATATACACAGAGAGCACACACACCTGCCCAAAACACACTCACTAAGGACTCACACACACCTAGTGAGGGAGTCACAGCTGTAACAGCTGGAGGACCAGAAAGCAGTGAGGTGGACAGCGGTATGCGGCCAATCCTGCCAACATCTGGAGAAGTTCTGGTAAAACCCAGAAGTCCTCTAGTAACAGCAGCAGCACTGCATGCATACACAACATCTCAGCCACATATAACACCAGCAGAACGAGCAGAGGCCTCAGAGCCTGCAGCCTCCCCCACCTGCAGGTTCAGGCTGCAGCATCAGGACGACGCTGAGGGCCGGCGTCCTGCAGCTGCTTCGGTAAGAGAATACAAATAAATAAAAGATCACACTCAGCGCCACGGTTTCAGTGTGACACACAAGCAGAAAGCACCGTCCTCCTCCTGACCCTCTAACCGAGCAGGAGTGGGACGCACAGTCGGGACCTGGTTGCACATAAATAACTCACTGGTGGACTCAAATGAAATTAAGATGACCACCTGATCTTTATGTTTGATCAACAATACAACGGTTGCACCATCAAAGCCGGTGAATGCTCTATTTCTATCACTTGCATTTACCTTCAATGCATTTTGTATTTATAGAATGTAGGAAATAGCAAGAGGAGCACTTTAAAAAATCAAATCTAGAAATTGATTTGTAAGCTAAAATGACTACTTTGTACTTTTAAAATACTTATTTTGTGGCCTAAATTAAGTCATTTGTACTCTTAAGAACAGGTGAAAAAATTAACATTTTCTAAGTTTCTATTTCTTCCATCTGTGAAACAACTTTTATCAGGTGACTGTTTTAGTGAGGATCATTGTTGGTTGTTGTAATACTTATTTTGGCCACTAGAGGCTAAAGTGCACCACCTCTCCATTAATAGGACAAAAGGCATTCAAGTTTTTTTCCAGGTGAGTTTTATTTTTTCCTGTTTCACAGAATTTTAATGTGAGGAACATAGAAAGACTTGCTGGCAACACCACATCTCACCTGCTCTAAAGCTAAGAACACTGTCGATCAGACTTTAAAGATGGATCACCACAATCCTGTCCTCATGACTTTCTAAATGAATTGATGCACCATTCATTCTTGTTTTTGTAACCTGAGGTTAGTAAAACTATTTCCTCTGAATATATACTTAGTAGAGACAAAAGTAACAAATGGAGCGCTCTGTATGTTCACATTAGACTTCAGTGACAAAGAATGTTTGTCACAGGGAGAGCGAGGCCTCAGGCTGCAGGCGTGGAGCTGAGACTCACCATACAAACACTTCTCTGCTTCCTCCTCAAACTGTTTATAGCTGCCAATCATCTAGAATCTAGAAGTCCTTTTCTTTCAACTTTTGAAAGAGTGAATTATGAGCATTTTGCACGATGCAAGTTGAAAAACTCACATCAAATGTACATCCAGTTGACCAGCGAACAAGTGAGGATTTGAGGTGAACACAAGAGTCAACAAATGTGCTGTGACAAAGAGTCGCTGTCACTGGAGCTCTGCCAGGAAACCAGGAAGTGGTTTCTGCCACAGGTGGGTGGAGCAGAGAGGGAGGGGAAGAGAACCTAAGAGAGAGAGAGAGAGAGCCAGGCAGAGGAAAGAGGCTGGAAGTTGAGGTGTGAGAAGCATGCTGAATGATCGTCTGGATCAATATTAGAGCTACAACTTAAAGCTGCAGTCGCTCAAGAGCCAGTGCAGCTCTCTGCCTGTGACCCTGGAGCGCAGAGGTTCAGCCGTGTTTGTGTTTGTGTCCCAGGCCCCGGAGGAGCCCCGGCTCGGGCCCCGCCCCCGAGAAGGCGTCCTCCATGTGTGCCTGCAGAGGGTCGGCCAGCTGGAGCTGTGGCTGCAGGAAGCCCGGAGGAGCCCGGTAGCCGGCGGAGCCGCTGGCTCGTCCGCCATGCAGGACAACGTGGAGCAGCAACTCCTCACCTGCCAGGTAAAGCCCCGCCCACCAGGGCACTCTCAGGTCAAAGGTCCACAGTCAGGTCCAACTGGGTTAAATGAGGCGGAGGAGTTGTGAGATGTCTCGGTCATAGATTTTTGTTTCAGTTAAGGTTTGAACTTTTAAATAGTATCTGTTGTTTTCATTGTGTTGTTTTTAACGCTTTCTTTTGAAGAATCATCTTAACTGTTCCATTAATGACTGTGTCATTTTGCTTTATCTTTATCTTTATTATTGCTATATGTTAACTCCAGGAAGAGCAGCAACCACTATGTGACTCTCAATCAGGAATATAGAAGTGATGTCAGTATACCCGTCTTTTCTTATTTTAAATCCTTCACCTTGCCAATTACCAAATCCCTGCTTCCTGAGCTGCTGTGTGATAAAAAGAAATTGGTTCTTATTGATGACATTTTGACAAGATTAAATGTCTGCTTAGAAATTTACATCAATTTAATGAGCACACTTTTAATATCATGAAGCTCTTATCTGGGAAAATACCCTCTTTAACCTTTTTGGCTCGTGACGCCTCAAAATGAAACATGAGAACGTGAGACGGCTCGTCACAGGTCGACCGAAGACGGATGTCTTTCTTAGTTGTAGCGTTGCATGTTTAAGAGGCCTGAAGAAGGGACATTGTCTAGTAATTGGGGGCGGCCGTGGTTCATGGGGTAGAGAGGGTCGTCCTGCGGTTGGATCCTTGGCTACGAGTCCTGTATGATAATCACAGTCATGTTATATCGTTGGCTATCACACAATATTTCCACTTTGTGCACAGAGTGTAAAGAGAAATTAAAGTCACCTGAGAGGCATACTTCAAGTTTAACTTGTTCAGATCAACAATAATGCTGCTACTGTTACACCGAGCAGCAAAGAATAGTCACAACCCCGGGTCACTGGGCGAGTCATGTGACTTTACTAACATTTCAAGTTGCACAATGTCGTGTCTAGAGCAAAATATGACTCATGGATCATTTCCAAATGATTGCCGACTGTTTCAGATCTTGCAAAATGACGTTTTTGCAACTCAGAGGTCAGAATGTTATTCCCGTGTCTCACGTATGATGTAAGATGTGAGGACACGTGTGGCTCTGGTCACGGACGAGTCAAAGTTCAATCGGTTCCAGTTGAACACATTCATGGCCGGAAGTTTCCTCCAGCAGCTGCTGGTTGTTACTGTCTCAGTGCTGATAACACGATAATGAAACAAGTGTCATATTCATGTTTTGGTGCTTCCTTATTGCTCAGAATGGGCAAACATTGCACCAACAAAAACATTTTTAAACATTACATTTTACAATTTGTTAACGTTTTACACAACAAGCTGTATTTAGCTTTTTACCACTTCAAGACTTTATTATTACTTTTTTCATAATAACCTTTTAGAAATACATTCAAATTACTCTCAATTCCGTGACCTGATTGTAATGTAAGATGTCAGCAGTGCATTGACACCACATGATATCCAGATGAACCCTGACCCTCAGCTGCTCCCATTGTATTGCCTCTAAAGTTGCTTTGAGTCTGCTTGTAAAAGGAAAAGTGTCCGCTGGAGAAAGTGAAAGAGACACGAACTCAAACATCAGACCTTTTAGAATCCACTCTTAGACGTATGGTAGAGTAATGCTTTAGTGAAGTAACCGTGTTCACTGTGTTTACCATCAACCCACAGAACAAATGATTGTTGGCTTCACAGATTAACACACACTGAATGTCAGCTGCTGCTATTTGCATTGAGGGCGCAGCGTTCTTGCAGAGGTGGAGACCAAACTGTCAGAGATCTGAGAAATCGACCAATCAGATGTCGTAGATTTGAACTCTGCCAACGCTCCATGACGACAAAATAAATGCATGAAAACAGACGGCAGACCTCTGCTACCAAAGTCACTTTTAACACTGATGGACAATTCATATCCAATATCTGACTCTGTGTATCTGTCAGTCAACACTTTGTTGCTTCTGCTGTCCAGCGTCAACTTTCCATGAGCTACAACAGACATTTCTTCTTTTCTGATAATCCGAAAGGATAACAAGTTTATTCAAGCACCACAGGGACAAACATGCACCGATTCATTTCCAGAGTTTGGTTTAGTTTGCTTCCAGAACATCTTTCAGATCCCAAATACACGTCCAGGTCTTTATTTCACTACTTTGTCTGTTTGCGTCTGTAGATTTCTGCTGAATTCACCAAAAGTTCAGATCCCAAGAGTTTGTTTTTCTATCACATGCCTCTCAGTGCGACCTGCTCAGCACTTACATTCTTGTTAAGAGTAAAGGATTTGACATAAGTGTGTGTGTGTGTGTGTGTGTGTGTTTTAATGTATAGGAGATGTTCCTGGAGATCGAGCAGAGGGTTTCTGGCCTGTCGGCAATCGGTCATCCAACCGACCGGCAGCATGACGAGGCGGCCGAGCTGCTCTCCTCCAAACTGGAGCTCCTGAAGGCCAATCTGGTGTCGTTCCAACAGCTGCTGCAGGACCGACAGGGAGAGGAGAGGAGAGAGCCTCAGGAACAGGTACACACATAGGTCGAGTCTCGAGTCTTCATCTCTCGTGGGAACAAAGACGAACATGATCGGGTGTTTGTTTTTATTTCCTCAATCTACCAAAGACATAACGTATCTCCTTGTGTCTCCTCTTCACTCGTTCCTCCTCAGACGTCGGCTCCTCATCCAGAGCGTCGCTCTCAGTTGAGGCGCAGCAGCAGCGTTCAGGAGATCTTCTCCTCTCCCAGAAACAAGCTGCTCAGACAGAGCAGCCTGCAGCAGCAGAAGGTAGCGGACTCCACTGCCGGCTTTGTTAAAGGGTTTCCACTGATGGGAGCTGTGGGATTGATATTAAATACTGAAGTCGATGTCAATACATCAATGTCATATCTTTATATTTGACAATATCAATCCCTTTCAAGCTTCATTCGACCAACATGAGACACTAAAACCCTCCAATGCACTCAGAATTAATAAAAACTAATATAAGCTCTCGACAATATTAGATCTTTAAAAACAGGCCGATACAAACGTATTTGTAGAAGAAAACCACTGCATTGATCTTTACTGATATTCAGACTTTCTCTTTCACATCTTTATTCTTTCTAGTTTGCTCTGGAATTTAAACCAGCAGCTCGAGATGAATTCATCAACAGGAAAGCTTCAATGTAGCAAAGCCCAAAATAATCCAAAGTTAAACCTGTTGACTCAACGAACTATATATTTAAATATACGTATATAACTTATACATATAAATATGTAAGTTAGGAAACTAAGGAAGTGTTCTGTACATTAAACTATATGAAGTGGTGGAATGTAACGAAGTACATTTACTCAAGTACTGTACTTAAAGTACTTGTACTTCACTTGAGTCTACTTTTACGTCACCGCATCTCAGATGTAAATATTTTTTACTTCATGACATTTATGTGACAGCTTTACTTACTTTACAAACTAAGATTTCTGAACACAAAACATATGAAAAGCAGATAAAATAATAATGAATTGGCAGCTATTTTAATAAATGTACTTATTTTTAAAATAATGTCACTTTCTGGGTAAGTGTGACGTCATTTCTCTCTATTTTCAAACCAAACACTTCATCGATTTATGGAGAAATTAATCAGCAGATTAATCCATAATGAAACTAATCAATAGTTAATAATTAAAAATGAGCCTCAACCAAAATAATACATGAGTAGAAATAATCTAAAATTGTAATTTATAACAGTCACAGTTTTAACTTTACATTTTCCTGATTCTACTTACAGAACGTGTTCAGTGACTTGTACTTGTATTATTAACGTGTATTAGTACTGAAGTTAAATACTTCTTCCATTCTGACTAATGTCGTTGTTGTTGTTGTTGTTGTTGTTGTGCAGGAGTTGGAGCTGGGGCTGACTGAACAGAGAGGACTGACTCGGGCCATCGCCAGGCAGGGCAGCAGGACTCCCCTCCACAGCCGGGGAGCAGAGCACCACGGCCAGCTGTCTTCACGGTAACACACCGTACCGTCACATTGTTATTCCATGTATATTTGGTCTAAGTGTATATTACAGAGGGTAAAAGATATATTTTATATTTCTGTTTATTTGTCTCTTCTTTCCAATTCTGATATTTTCCCGACACAATAATATATCTGAACTTTAACAAGTGCTTCTATTGAGACCTCAAATATCATTCTATTAAAAGAATTTCACTTTTAGAAATGAGTGTAAGTATTTATATTCAGGGCCGAATAAGGCTGCAGTCGAATTATGAAAATAACACAAAATATAAGAAGAGCAGACAAAAGAGATGATAATAGACATCAAGCAGAGACAGAAAGATGAAGAGTTCATTTCAGCCTCGTCTCCCTCCCTGCAGGTCGCCTCCTGCTGAGGCTGATGCGGAGGAGGACTCCGCTCAGAAGAAGTGGGCCGGCCTTCACAGCCGGCTGCTGGCTGTGGAGGAGAGCTGGCTGCTTCCTCCCTCCGAGGTAAAGGCCTTCGTCGTGAGAGCTGAAGTGCTTGATTATCACTTTTTTTTTCGAAATACAAAAGAGAAAAGAAAAAATCTGTGCTCTCGCCGCGCTTGATTATCACCTTCTTTGAGCAGAAGGCACTTTGTTGTGTCTTTGGTGTGATGGGGAGTCCTGCAGGGCTTGATGGGAGTCGTGTGTCTTCTTCTCTCTCTCTCTCTCTCCGTCTCTTTCTCTCTGAAGGTGACAGACTCATCTACGAGGCATAGTGATGGAACAGCAGGACGCATGATTGGCACACAGACCATGAAAGAGCTCCAAACCCACATCAGCCGTCTGAGAGAGTTGGGAATCGCAGCGACAGAGCCGCTGGATCAAGTACGGGCTCATTGTCAGGACAAGATGTATGCTGGGACGCCCCCAAGGGGCCATGAGATTAATGTGAGGGGGGGCCCCTAGATGATTAGTCGCCTACATTATTAATCCTTAACCCTTGTGCATCCCTTTAAAAAAAAGTTTCTCTGCTGTCCTTAGCAGGCAGCAACCTCTGGTTCTGAAAAGTGAAGTCAAAGCTGCATTCTCTCTAGTGTCCACCAGGGGGTGACTCCTCTGGTTGTATAGAAGTCTATGAGAAAATGACTTTTTTTGTTAATAGTTTGACTCACCTCTCTGTCTTCAGGCCTCCCATGTGGACAGCTCCCGTCAGACACTCGATGAGGGTTTGTTTCATGTCCTGAGTGGGACATCCCTGTCCCTGTCCTCCATCAACAGCCTGCTGCACTCGCCTGCTGGGACGACCCATGAGGGGGACACAGAGTGGAGGCTGCTGCAGGTGGGACTCACCAAAACAATCATTTTGGGTTAATCTCACTTTAAATGAGAGGGTGGTCCACAACTTTGGTCAAGACTGAAATATTTTAGCAACTACAAAAAGTTGAACAGACATTCATGGTCCCCAGAGGATGCATCATACTGACTTTGGTGATCCCTTGACCTTTTTCTCTAGTGCCACCATGAGGTTCATTTGTTTTCCTTTGTGTGAAATATCTCATATAAAGACTTTGTTGTTCCTTCTGATCACTAACTTTTCATTTAACGCCATCATCAAGTCAAAAGGGTGGGGCTACACAGTGATTGACAGGTCTCTACCATGGCGTTTTCTGGTCTGAGAGTTGTTGTATTTGTCTTACAATTTCAACCCTTTCACAGTGTGTTCTCACTTCATGAAAGTTAATTGTTACATTTTGTTGTGCTTGTTTTGCCAAAAAACAGCTGACCCAAAGGACGACAATGCCACAATCAAACTCTATAAAGGACTGCCTTGTGTTCCTTTTCAGACTCTGTCTGCAGAGCTGGCTACCCTTGGCAGTGAGCTGGCCTCTCAGGGGTCAGATGTCAGCCGTGTCCTGGGGTCAGAGTGTGCTCGGCAGTGTGTGGATGATCTGTGTCGAGTGCTTCCTGTGGTCCGGTCTGCACTGACCAGCAGAGAGAAGCAGCTCACAAACCTGCAGGAGGAGCTGACGAAGCACCAGGTCACATATTATGACACACAACACGCCCTGAAATACTGCAATCAGTCGATTCTTAAACTATGTTTTTGTGTGTCTCTCTGCGAGTTGTCATCTATAAGTCAGTTCCTCCACGTAATGAATCTTATAACTTATCTAACATATTTATATGTAAACTTTTTAAATGCAGAAATATCCTTTTCCTGTTTATTCAAAAATCAAACACTTGTCGTTTGCATGACCAGTTTCAAGAACCAGTGTTGTGTGTTTACCCACCAGATACTACCAAATGAGTTGCATGCAGCCTTCACTTCTAACCAGGCGACGGGTCACCAGATCACTAATGAGTTCAGTGGAACCCTGGACCTTAACAAACAGCTGCAGGTACTGTTTCTATGGAGGTATTTCACTTTAACCAGCTGCATTCTGAGCGGTTTGCTAGACGTGCTTCTTACCTACAAATAGGCAAAAACTAAATAATATAAGCTGCAAAAGTAAAAATACTTTCAACCACATTTTGCCTTCCGATACCGGTTGGCTCTTTATATGAACGACCAGAGAACCAAGGATAATAGACTAGACTAGAATAGATTTATGAGGTGAAACCCTTCTGTAGTTTATGCACCAGTATTTACTACCTTTAAAGTTAGAGAGAGAGGACTTCACTCGCTACTTGAGGAATAGCCCGAAAGTCATTCACACAAGAGATTTAACAAGTTTGACTGTTCGCTAGTCAGTCAACATCAGTGTGTGTGTGTGTGTGTGTGTGTGTGCGTGTGCGTGTGTGTGTGTGTGTGTTTCCCAGGCTTTGGTTGACGTGCAGGAGTCTCTGCAGCAGCAGGTGGAGCAGGTGAGCTCCCTGCTGGAGGCTGACCGACGCCACCTGCCTCCCTCTATCATCCAGCAGGCCTCGCAGGTGAGCTAACGGCTAAACGTCATATCTGGACATTTGGGAAGCTTACTCCCTAAAGATAATACTCAATAACTGTGTGATTCAGTTGCATGTTTAAATCTGCGTTTGCCTCCTATGTACAGGGGGAGATGGATGGTTCTCTGGGTGGTGTTCGCTCCCGCTGTGAGGAGCTGAAGACCAGCGTGGAGCTGCAGCAGCAGTACGAGCGGCTGGTTTACAGCCTGCAGGAGCTGCTGGCTCTGGGCTCCGAACGCCTCGCCCAGCGGCCCGACACCGAGCTGCACAGCAGAGCTCAGCTCCAGCAGCAGCTCAGCGGTCACACGGTACCGCCTGGGGAATACAGAAGAGAAAAACACAGTTGCTTTGTTAGCTAAGTATAATCTTTTAACATTACGTACCCTCTCTGTTATCAGAAGTTTTTCCAGTTCCTGGGCCATCATTTTAAGATCCTGCAGCAGCTGACCCAGAGAGTCCCAGAGAGCGCCCTCCAGAGGTGGGAGGGTGTAGTGACGGGCCTGCAGGACGAGGTGGCCCGACTGCAGCAGCACGGACTGGAGAAAGGCACCAGGATGCAGGAAACAATACAGGTAGTGCATGACGGGAAGGTAAGAATGAAATGAAGCAATAGAAGATGATCTAAACAGTGCATGCTTTAGCATCATCTCCGAGGCGGCTAGCATGGCTGTAAGCTCTTCATTTTGTTACTGTGACATCTGAAAGGTTTCTAAGAGAACGTTATGGACATGAATGTTGCCACTTCTGTTCTGGATCATCAAAATATAGTCTTCTGATTCATCGCCAAGAGAAATCTGTTCAACACAGTTATATTTTGCAGACACACGCATGCACACAACATGATGGGTTTATTCAGGGAACAGGAGCAGCTTTTGTATAGAATTAGAAGAATCATGAAAAAGCACTCACAGAATTGATTTGAAGAGACAGAGATGTCTCTTCTGACCGTCATCGTCTCTCTCCGTCTGTCTCAGGTGTGGTCACAGTGGGAGGAGGACAGCGCTTGGTCAGACTCCCTGCTGAGAGCCAATGAGGCTTCATTTCCCAAGATGCATGTGGGGGTTAATCCTGAGAAGCAGATATCAGAGAAGCTCTCCCTCTACCAGGTCATTTTTATTATTATTAATACTTATGTTCTTTCTGACTGTCTGGGTATGACTTTGATTAACCAACAAGCAGCCGACTGGAGGACGGAGCGCATTTTGCAATGTTCCGTTCTGCTCATTTGGAGACGATTGGGCGCGCTCTCCATGCTCTACTTTGTACATTGCACTCAAAACCTAATTGGCTCAATTAAGTACAAGCGAATGGGTTGTTTTCTGTAGGGGCACACAATGTTCCTGGGCTTTGATGTGAGTTATTAGCAGAGCGGAGACCTCCAACTAGAATTCATTTTGGTCCATGGTCTCTGTGGCTCCGCTGTGGAATTGGAAATGTGTCTCTTATTCATCTGAAATGGCTGCAACTCGCTCAGTGGTCAACAAAGTGTGTGTGTGTGTCTGCGTGTGTGTGTGTGTGTGTGTGTGTGTGTGTGTGTGTGTGTGTGTAGTGAAGGAGTTGAAGACACCAGAGCTACAATAGGCTAGCTGTCTCTCAGCTAAGCTGTCATCTAACTCTCAAAAACAAAAAAAAAGCCAATCAGCGTTTATAAGGTTTTTGTCTTTCTGATGGGAGCAGCGTGGCGTTCTGGAGGGGAACAAGGCGCGGTTCAGTCGGATGCTGGAGGCAGGGCTCTGGCTGCAGGTGGCCGGCTGTGGAGGGGTGGGCGTGTCCACCGGCGAGCTGGAGGCCCGATGGAGAGCCCTGCAGAAGAAGGCGGAGCTCAAACGCACCAATGAGGAGAGGAACAGGAAGCTGAGGAGCAGGTGGGAGATGAGACGGAGACAAACATACTTGTTTGGACTAAATAAGTTTGATCAAATATTGATTTAGATTTGACCTTATATATTGCATATATATGGGATATTTATATATATATCCCATATATTCTTTTATTGTTACAAATAAATATGAATAAGATAATAAATGAAACGTATTCAGATTACACGTTATTAAGGTCGATTGCTTAATTCAAATGTGCTCTTTTCCACCAATAAACAGGTTTTCTCGTGACTCCGCTGTGCTGGCAGACTGGATGGGCGGAGCCAGAGAGCTCATTGACGAATGCAGTCGGCTCTCCGTTTCAGCTGAGGAGGAGACGGATGCTGAACAGAGGCGTGACCGCTACCTCCAGTCTGTGGTGAGCAGGAGCTGGAGGCTCATTGCTCAGACCAGACTTCACTCATTCAAACCTGCACACATTTCTAAACATCGCTATATTTCCACTTTAATTAAATGATTCACCTTCTCTTCCTTTCTAATACAAGTTTGTTGTTCTTTAGATCCAACAACTGGATGCGTCAAAGTCTAATCTTAATGTTAGGAGGGTTTCTGTGTATAGAATTAGATCATCTAGTTTTAGTGTCAGTAGACCTTTAAACTAGTGTGTAGTCACGATCTCTACACACTGAACATGTATACTATTCTTGACCACTCTCCTGTAATTGCAAATGGAAAAATGTCCAACTTAAAAATAAAATAAATCAGTTTGTATAAGCTGAACAGTGAGTAGAGGATGGTCATTTTTGCGATTGTGGGGAACAGAATATAACCAAACATTTCTATTTTTAGACTTTGACCAAAGAGTTGGAGGCCAAATCTGAGCTGAAGGTGGCTGTCATCTGTGTTGGAACCCAGCTGGTTGAGCTGAGGGAGGAGGACCAGGAGCCTTCAGACCCAGGTCTCTGCTCCGTCCGCTCCCAGCTCAGACAGATGGAGCTGGACTGGTCCGGTCTGCTGGCCGATGTTCCTGTCGTCCAACAAGCTCTGCATAAGGTAAGAAAGATTCAACGTGTACTCCGTTACGGAGGCCCAAAAGTGCCGCCTCATATTATTATTTTAATGAAAATTACAAATGGAATTGAGATTTTTGTCCTTATGCGTTTCTAAATATCAAAATGCGTCCCAATGTTTGCTTCTCCGTGCCCACATGTACAGTGTGGAGCGGTTTGGTATTTCAGAAACCTCGCTGCAGTCTTTTTGTCACCAATTAGTTTTAAACATCCCCGCCGTGCAGCACAATGCCATCATGAGGACTCTTCACACGCTTATTGGTGTGAAATCATTCTCCTCTGTCTGTCTGGGTCTCCTCTTTCTTTCTCTATTCTATTCTACTTCCCTCTCTCTCCCTCCTCCTCATTTCCCTCTCATCCTGTCTTCCTGCTGTTATTCCTTATTTTCCGTTCCTCACTTCTGTTTTCTGTCTACTTTTCTGACTCGTAGTATTTTCTCTCCCCTCCCTCGCCCACTGTGTTGCCCTCTCACTCACCTCCTATATTCATCTTAAAGGTCAAAGTAAAGAAATATCTTTCGCTTTAAATTTGAAAACTAGCCCAGACTGCTGCGTATCAAACATCTGATGTTTACGTCAGAGCACAGCCATTTACAGACCAATAACGTTATTTCATGTAGTAAATCCTCCTAAAGCTTACAGGCTGACCGCAGAGCTCCATCAGACTGGAATGATATTTTACCACAAGGGCAGAAACATCCTGGGTTAGCTGAATCTTTTTTGAGGAGAGCAAAAAGTGCTTCTTGAAGAACAGAGACGAAGTATGTCATTTTTTTTGCCTCCTCCTCCTCAGCGATGGATGAAGACGATGACCCAGCAGGGGGCGCTGCTGGAGCTGCAGGTCTGGCTGGAAGTTGCTGAGTCCCGTCTGGAGGAGCATCGCAGCAGAGTCAACCGAACCTCCTCCACCAACGCTGATCTGAGTCAGCTCCTGAAGTACTGCAAGGTAGAGAAGAGCTGAGTGATGGACGGATGTCCTGATTACTGACGTGTTGGTGGTGGGACGCTGTTAGTGCACTCATTTAAGTGCAATCTTGATTCCCTGCTGGAAGTCTTGTTTAACTTGACTTTTTATTTATTTTTATAGGAGTATCTGACAGAGATGTTGGCGCATCAGGCCACACTGGACTATGTGAGCCAGCCGTTACAGACATGCAGTACGGAGGACGGCCAGAGGAGACGCCGTGAGCACAACCAGTTTGCAGAGGAGCAGGGTCAGCTCAGCCATCACTGGCTCAGTTTGCAGGAAACACTCAACTCTCAGGTCAGAAAACAAACACATCAAGGTCTACTTAGAAGCTTTCTTCCCCTGATCCCAAATCCATTCTACACATCCTCTGTTCTCATATGGATTGTCTGTATTGTGATTTGATTATGTTTTGCTTTCTAACATTTTTCCCTGTTAAAGAGTTTGTTTGTGGAGTTTTTCTTTATCTGAAGCGCAGATTGAAAAGGACAGAGGGGGTTGTAATGCTGTACAGTTTGTAAAGACACCGGGGGAAGTGATGCGATATTGGGCTGTATAAAAAACTAGTGACATCACATCAATTTACCCACAGTAGTAGTGGGGTCATGGACCTGTGACGGTTCAGAAACCTGGTCTAGAATATCCCATCAAATGAACCAAACGCTTGACTCTTCACCAAAGTTAATGCAGTTTTGGATTCCCCATTATTTTGTGTTTTGTTCATGATTAAATATCCTTTCACTAAACGGTGAAGCTCAGCAAGAGCAGCTGATGATGTAATCATCATTTCTAAACATTCTCAAGTCCTTGATCCTCAGAAGAAATATGTCCGACTTGCTGCTGCTGTTTGTTTGTGGTGTTCAGCTCCAGGAGGTGGAGCAGGAGCTGAGGAGCAGAGTGGAGCGGGAGGCCCGACTGCAGCAGATCAACAGCTGGATTACAGATCAGAACCTCTGGATGGACTCGGCTCAGACGCCCAGCAGCCAGACGGAGCTGCAGAGGAGCATCAACACCTGCCAGGTCTGTGAGAACAATCACAACGCCTGAACCAAAGCTGCTGTTTCAGGTTCAATACTTGACGCAAACGGAATTTTCCGCCTTTTTTGGGTGAGTCAGGATCTTGAGGAGAAGATCGGGCAGAAGTCTGCAGCTCTTCAGGAGTTGAGAGACGGACTTGATGGAGGTGGAGGAGAAAAGAGCAGCAGTGATTTCATCTCTCGGACGGATAAATCCATCCAGGCCTGTGCAGCTCTCACACAGCAGGTAAGTGATGCTGAGGACAATGTGAAAGTGGACTTAAAAGAAACAAGATAAGTGTGCTATCTCGCCGAGTTACCAGCAGCAATTTGATCACAAACAAATATATATGGCATCAGAAATGTATTTATTCCGACTTTTACTTTATAAAACTGTTGTCACAACTAGGACATATGTGAGATGTCTCGTCTGCCGGCTGTAGCTTCTTTCTTCTCGGTAATATTGGAACATCCTGTCTGTTCTTTGACAGCATGACTCAGTGAAACAGAGGCTGCTTCAGGGTCAGCAGCTGTGGGATTGTGTGCAGAAGCGACTGAATCAGATGATGCTGAAAACGGCGAGAACGTCTCAGACTCTGGATCATCACAGCAGCTCTCCGCTCTGCCTGCAGACACACAGAGATCTCCATGAAAAGCTGCAGGTAAAGGAGGACTGGTGCACCAGCTGCTTCTGGAGTGGGTAGAGTTGGACAGGAACTTTAATATACACGTGGAGCATGCAAAAAAAAATATCCCTCTAGAGTTTCTGGTTTCAGTGTGCAGAAAGAGCGTGTTTGATTTAGTTTGGATGTTGTACCGGTGATGACTGACGGTGTTCATTGTGTCGGAGGCAGCTTCTTCACGAGGAGACGGAAGCTTCAGAGACAGAGTGGGACGAACTGAGTCAAAGCGCCTCCTCCCTCAGAGACGTCGTCAGTCCTGCTGCCGCCGCCCTCCTCACAGAGCAGCTGGACAGACAGAAAGACGGGTGAGACGGACGGCATGCAGCCACACACACACACACACACAAAGATTTCTTCTTGTCCCTGTGCAAGACTATTTCACAAACTGACACTGGGCTGTAACGTCACACTCCTTAATCAACCAATCCTCCTCCAGTTGGACGGCGGTGTCCGCGGCGTTGGACCAGCAGCTCCGGAGGAGTCGGGGCGTCCTGCAGGTGTGGGAGGTCTACGGCCGGCTGGCTGCGTCTTTCTCTCAGCGGCTGCAGACGCTGCAGAGCGACGTCAGGTCGTCGCTGAGCGGAGCGGCTGCAGACGAAGACACCGAGGAGCAGCTCGCTGGCAAGATGCACAGTGCTCAGGTGAGGAAATAACGAAAAACACGAAGTGGACAAAGAAAGCGATATTCTTTCTAAATCTGCCTTTGGTTTATGTTTTTGGAAGGTTTTGTTTTGTTTTGGTATTTGCTTGTAACCTTTCTAGATGTACAAGCGCTGAAAAGCTCATTCTTGACACTTGGAGACAGAATAGCAACACAAGATCCACCTTCTTGCCTTTTCTGGAGCTTTCAACTGCATCTCACTGACTTCCTTTATTATTTTTAATCAAATTTAACATTTAGTTTTTGCGCTTGTTTTGCTTTGTTTTTGAGATTGCACTTGTTCTTGTAGTTTCAAAGCATTTAACTGATGAATCAGAGCGTTTGGTTTGAGTTATGAGCTGATTTTATGCTCCTTTACTTCCCCATGGCTGAGATATAACTCCTCTATGTGTTTATTTCTTACTAGTTCTACTTCTTGAGCTGTCAAATATTGAATCAATAAATAACTTCAGCCCTCCAGTTTCAGAAAACCTCACTAATAACTACACCAACACCACATGCTGTTGAAACTCTCCAGTCCTCTTATTGCATTTGTCCCCGTCCACCTCTGCTCCACAGAGTCTCCTGGAGAGGACGGGCACTCTGCAGTCCGGCCTGGAGGAGGTGCTGGAGGCCTCCAAGGACTTAATTAGCCACCTGGAACCTTCAGCCGCCAGTCTCGTCCAATCAGAGAGCCGGTTGTTGTCGCGTGGTGTTCAGCAGCTCAGCCAGAAGGGGGCGAGGATGCTGGGTCAGCTGCAGGTAAAAGCACATCAGTTAATCAGTCTATTTATAGACGGTGGATTAGAGAGCGCTGATCGCTGAAGACAGCATTTGACATGAGGTCGTCAGGGGAACTGTCCAATGATGAAGCCTTTTATTGTGTAACTGTTTCATTTCATAACCCAACAGGATTTTATTTACATTATGGTTATTGTTGTTTCATTGTTTTGTCATTTAACGTTTTTGTATTAACTATATCAATCCATACAAACATCAACACAACACTAGCTGCTGCATGAAAAACAAGTAATAAAATAAAACTAAATATATCTGGGCACAGTAGCTAAGTACAGTAAAAAAAAATAAGAAACCTGCCACCTGCGTGCGCTGCGTGTCACAGTGACCTGTAAATTAAGACCCAGCTGGCATCGTGTCATGTGTGTCGCCTGCGTGCAGGAGGAGCTTGAGCGGCTGCAGGAGTTTGGAGACGTCCTGGAGTCGCTGGAGGGAAAGCTGCAGCAAGCGGAGGCTCGGCCAGCGGACCAGGTGAGACGGCGTGAGAGGAGTTTATGAACGACTGCGTCTCCTTCCTTTAGATCCACAGAGCAGGAGACTTCTACTTCTCAACAACGACATCTGGACTTGTTATTTTGTTACATTTTTTGTTGTTGGAAATGTTATATTTGGACAAAGATTGAGATATTTTTTCTTTAAACTATTTTTTTAGCACAAATCAACTTTTTAGAGTTTTCTATAAGCAAGTATAATTTAAAGTTTTTGTGATTCCAGTATTAATCTGTCTCATAACGAGGTCCTAAGTGATCATTTCTACAGAATCTATCCAAACGGTCTCAGCACAAAGCACTTTGTAGCTGCTGGAGCTTCTGCATCACAAGATCCTCTTTTTCAGTCTTCATGTAATTGCAGATTTTTAAATTCCCATTTTGTTTGGTGAGCATTTAAAAGGACTTCTGATGTTGGTGTATTTATTTCCGTCATATGTTCACAGCCAGCTGACCGACCTTTAAGAGTTATTTTAAGAAAATAAGATATTTAGATGTGATATACGTGTTGGAAGGACAATATTTCTTTGCAGAATTAATGTTTAATGTAGGTATTGATGGAAATGGATCTTCAGGCCATGAATAAGGAGTTTGTCTGCGGAACAATGAGTGGAGAAGAACTAGTAAACTCAATGTAACAGAGTGTAGTGTTCCTGCCTGCAGTAGTCCAGACTCTTGTGATCCCTTGTGACCACCACATGTTCCCAGTCTGGCCTCCTGGAGCTGAGCGGCCCGTCTGCTGACCTGGACGTACTGAACGAGCAGAGCTGCACCCGCACGCTGGGCGACGCGGCAGCGCGCCGCCTACGACGCCTCAACCACCGCTGGGCCGACGCCTCCGCCAGAGCCGAGGAGGCCTGCAGGTCAGATCTGAGATCAGCACACGAACACATGAACCAGGGGGCTGAGGACAGCGGTGTAACGATGGATCACAGCATCAAGTTTTAATGATAAGAAAATGGTGACACGTGCAGAATCTATTCATGGCTCCTGTCGGTGTTGTTAGTTGAATGCAATGTAGGCCGGAAAGTGCTGTTAGTCTGGATGATTGTAATATATCTGTAGTTTAAAACCGGCTGTTGTTTCATAATCGCTTACACTGGTGCAAACAATGACAACTTTCTGCTGCTACATTTTGTTTCAAAACTCCTTTTACCCCAAAATCCATTACCGTGGGCATTAAAGTTGAAGTGTTTGTTGTGTGCAGTGAGCTGCAGACAGATGCACTGAGGCAGCAGAGCTTCCAGCAGAAGTGTGAGAGCTGGATGTCTTTCCTGCAGAGGATGGAGGACAGCCTGGCTGTGGACGTCTCCGGCTCGTACACCGGCCTCAGACAGCAGCTCTGCACACACATGGTATCCTCCGTGATGCACAGACTCACAAACAGACTTAACGAAAACAAAGCCCTGAACCCTGATCTCTCCTGGTGTTTCAGCGGTTCCAGGCAGAGCTGTCCACCGGTCACCAGATCCTTCACTCAGTTATCACTGAAGCTCTGCACCTGCTGCAGAAAGGAGAGGTGGAGGACAGGTAAGAAGAGCCTGCTCCTATAAAATAAAGGCGGGGCAAACACAGCTCCTTACCTGTGTTAATGTGTCCAGGAGCGACTTCATCCTGAAGCTCGCCCAGCTCAGGGAGCACTGGCAGGGCGCGGTGCAGCGGGCCGACCAGCGGCGCTCCCTGGTGGAGGGGCTGGTGAAGCACTGGCACCTGTACAGTCGCAGCCTGAGGAAGCTGCAGAGGTTCCTGTCGGAGACACAGATGCTCCTCCCCCCCGCCGGACCGGCCCACTGCAGCCTGCAGCAGCTGCGGCGCTCCCTGCAGGACCTCCAGGTGAGACGGACGTACAGCAGGCCGGCAGTACCAGGGGATTTAAAAGAAAGCCCAGGCAGGGGAACCGTGGGAATTTAATGGACAATAAATCATTTATAATGGCATCACTTTACAGGGATATAAGAAACTGCGTAGTGACAAACCCAGAGCTGAAGAACCACAATAAACTTCAAGGACAGAATATTCTAATGTATAAAGCAGAAGTCTATAAAAAGAGATTATTATTTTATTTTTAGTTTAGAGGGTCTGATTAAAATGTTGTTTTTATATATTCTCATTATTTTCTACCAAAGATCTTCCTCATTGTCAGTGTTGTAGTTTCATGACTTCAATGCCTTCATCATTTCAAGTGTTGATTGTAAGAAGAAATGTTATTTCTGTTATTCATGTTTTTTCCATCTTAAATACAATTCACGTGAATAGAAACTGTACAATAAGTGTCTTGGTATGAGTGTGAGTGTGCATGAAGAGATAATATAAGATGATAAAGATGCAGCTCATGTGTTTGAGTGTAAAGTTCTTCCCTCTAAGATTTCACAACTAAAGTAAACTAAAAGTACTGTGCTTGACTTTCAGCCGAAATGCTTTTCAGACCTTCCAGAAACAACCAAACAGTCTTGATCCACGTGTTCAGGACTGTTTGTTGATTCAGATTAAGATCACTCATCACTGCAGCAGGAACAAAGCAGCTGCCTGGTGCTGATGTGAGATTTAAGGAAGAAAAAAATACTTCTGCTGATTACATTTCATTAAAACAGAAGAGGAAGAGTGCTTCCTTTCTGCTCATTTGATTACCACGAAAAGATGAGATTTGAATATATTGTGAGTGAAGATATAATTAAAGGGAGCAGTAATCCCTTCACTCAACGGTCACAGCTCCTCTTCCCTTCCTTCTCTCCTCTCCTTTCCTTTTTTAAAAATCACCTTCAACCTTTTCTTTTTCTTTCAGCACACAGAGCTGCTGTTCCAGAGGTACCAGTGCAGCTTCATCCACACTCTGGAAGTCGGCCGGCAGCTCTTCTCCATGGGGGACGAGGAGACCCAGACCCGGCTGCAGACGGACCTGGGAACCCTGCAGGAGGAGTGGGACAACCTGCACAGCCTGCTGGGCCGGAGGACGGAGCTGACCGAGGAGATCGTCAAGGTACTAAAGCGATGCGTTCAGGAACATCTTGTTAATCTCAGTCGCCCGATTCTCTGAAATGATGGATGTGGTTTCTCTCCACAGTCGGTGTTCTCCACCGCCTCTACTTGTGTCTCTGTGTTGGTCCTGGTTTTTAATGGGGCTTGGCTTGGTTTTAAGTGACCTTATTTGGATCTGGTCTGGACTCAAACACCAAGGTCCTGGTCTTGGACTGGGCCTGAAATCAATCAGTTTGAATGGTCTGTTGTCAAGGCAGAGAGTTTTCTGGAGTTTTCTGATTTTTTTTTTATTGACAAATTATTAATTGTTCAATTGGAAATAAATTGATGATGAAATTGTCAGTTGCAGCCCTTAGTCCATATTTATATATAAAAATATATATATTTTTTATCTCCATTGTTTTTGTCAGTTTGAAAGCAGTATTGTATATCAGTACTGTATCTCAGTATTGTATATCAGTAGTGTATATAACATTGCAAACATTAAAGATGCAATCATAGAGCTTTCTCTCTAAATTCTGCTTTATTTTTCTGTCAGCCACGTTTGTAAGAGCAGGTATCATTTGACACAGTGGAAATGAAATCTTGGAACAGATCTTCTCAAATATCGCCCTCCTTTGTGTGTGGCTTGTGGTTTTTCTTTTTATTCTTTTGTGTTGGATGAGACCAAACCAGTGGCCTCCAGCCGGTTACGTCAGAGGGTCACAGATGCCACTGGACGTCTGAGTCACAGTGTCCGGCAGCGAGAGTGCTGCACTGTTGGTCCCCTGAGACGGAGACGCCATCGTCCTCTTATTCTGTGATTCGGTTCTATCAGATATTTATCACAATTTAACGGTCCAGTCTTTCCAGTGTCTCCTCTGCTGCCCCGAGGCTGCAGGTGCAAAGCTGCCAGACACAATTCTCTCTGCGTTTTTGTTTTCTCAACGTGGACAGACGCATGTCTGAATCCTCCATCTGTCCCCTGTAGCCATGGGCGGATTATGAGACCAGGGGTCCCTGGGCACAGACATGTCAGACATTTCGTGTCTCCTTGAAGTTGTTTTGGTCTTTTTGTTGAAGTTTTAAGTTTCTACGTGGTCATTTTTTGTTTCTTTGAGGTTGTTTTGGTCTTTTTGTGTCTCTTTGGAGTAGTGTTATGTTTCTTTGTTGTCCTTTTGTGTCACTTTGAGGTTGTTTTGTCCCTTTTCATAGGCGTCCTGAGTCTCTTTGTTGCTTTTTGTGTCTTTTTTCGAGCTGATTTGGTTTCTTTGTAGTGATCTTGTGTTTCTTTGTGGTCATTTTGAGTCACGTCTTGGTTGATACGTGTCTCTTTGAGTACATTTTGTAGGTGAAGGCCAGAGGGGCCCCTGACACGTTGGGCCCCAAGGCCTGTGCCCAGTAGACCCGTTCAGTAATCCATGGCCTTTAGCTTCTGAACTCTTCTGTTTCTCTGACAGCGGCCAAGTTAATCCAATCTGCTCTAATTAATGACAGTGGACACGTTTAGGAAGACAAAGACAAAGGAGTGTGATGGCCCTCTGCTCCGTCTCAAAGCCAATCAGCTGTTTAAGAACCCAGAGCATTGATCTGCGTGATCAACAAGCCTTTCAAATGTTTGTTTTTTATTTGCGTGCGTCTCAGAACTGGGAGTGCTGCGAGTCCGGACTAGCAGACCGCACGCTGCAGCTGAAGGACCTGAAGACCAGACTGAACCAGTCGATGCCAGAGTTTGACGATGAGCTGCTGAGCGCTGAGGAATACAACAAGGTACGTCTGCAAACAGCTGGTCATATTGCTCAACTATAGCTATATATCAACTATATTTTTCGGGTGCATACTCTGCTGTGCATTCACCGTACTGGGATTATTTTTACGTACTACGAGTATCTAATCCATCACTACATATATCACAAGCTCATATTCATGTAACTTTTCATGGTAATTAGCCGTCATAACTGCCTCTTTTTTAAATATACAAACAAACAAAAAGCACAAACAGATACTTTATTGATCCAAAGGGAAATGTTTGAGATGGAGGTGATGCAGATGTAGACGTTTGATCAGGACATCAGGAAACATTGTAGCCGCTCTTTGTTCCAAGAGAGCAAAGCCAAGTTTGACTCAACTCATCCTCTCTGACCCATCACAGCCTTGATCCCCCCCACCCCTCCCGCAATCCCCTCCTCCCGCCCCCATCTCTCACCCCTCCCCCGACCCGGGCCTGCAGCCTGTGGCCCTTAATCTTCTCTTTGGGCGGGGAGAAAGAGAAAGGGGCCGGACAGAAAGAGACATTAGGGAGTTGAGTGAGTGAGAGAGAGAGAGAGAGAGAGAGAGGGGGTCCCTGACGGTTTGTTGTGGCGGTTGGTGTGTTATGGTATGCAGGAGAACGAGGACTCGCTAGAGGACTGGGCTGAGAGCCTGACGGAGCTGAGCACCATGAAGACGGATCTGTCCCAGTACATCATCGCCGACGACATCCTGCTGCTGCAGGAGCAGGTGGAGCACCTGAACCGTCAGTGGGAGGAACTCTGCCTGAAGGTGAGACTGCTGATGAACTAAAGCTGAACCCAGACGGGAAGTTCTGATCCGGCATCTCGGCTTCTGCTGTTTATCTACTTTTATTTTGCTGCATCACTTGTACTTGACAGAGTAAATCACCAAGTTCATGTGCGTCTTTGCTTAAGATGTTTTAAGAAAGATGTACTTCGCGTGTGATCCGACTTGAATCAAGTGCAGTTAGTTTGAGTTTCATAGAACGGCTCGGTGAAGAGTGCACGACACCTCGTCATGCAGTTTCCTTTAAAAGTTTCTTTAAGTTTTCGTTTCAATGGATCAATCAAGTTGAAATATTCCAGAGGTCTTGTGCATCATTTTATACACGTTTCCCCTAATTCTTCAGGTGAAACTGTGGGATCTCTACTGACACTGAGAATGAACTTCTATGACTTTGCCCAATGTTTTGCTGCGCAGCATTAGCTGCTATCGACTGCACAGCTGGAACAGCTTGTATGTTAAGTGACGTGTTATTTGTCACCGGTGGCAAATGATAACTTCCTCTTCATGTCAGAGAGACCATATGAAGTGCACAGTGACTGTGCAGGAGCAGACTCACTGGTCGTCTAACGTTTTAAAACGTTTTTCAAAATTCCTCCTGTTTCTTTGGGACTACGTTTGAAAACCACACTACAGGCCTACTGGGTAATCATTGAAGAGCTAACATGTGTAACCAGCTCAGCCCAAACACTCTCACACTTTGTGTTTTGTTAGTGTGTGTGTGTGTGTGTGTGTGTGTGTGTGTGTGTGTTTGTAGACAGCAGCAGGTCAGATGAGACAATCTAGCTCCTTTAAACTGCTCCAGGACGAAGACACCGAGGGAGGGGAAGTTAGTGTGTTGACTATAAGGCTCCTTGTAGAATCGTTCTAGTTTTCTTCAGAAGACAACTGTCATCTGACATGTGACAGCTCTGCAGCATGTTTGCCACCCTGCGTTTAAACCTCAGAGTTCACCGTCTCTTTGTCTGTGTTCTGGTCATTAGTGTTAAAGTCTGAGCCTGTAATGAGGACTTAAGTTAGTACATCTTGTGAGTCTTTTTAGGGAGACGGAGGAGACCAACAGGTGTGGGTGTTGGGGGGTTAGTTTGGGTGTGAGGGTCATTGTGAGGGAACAGATGGTGGTAGGAGAGGCTTCAGGAAGGAGAGCTTCTGTAGTGAAGTGAGTCTGGGGGGGGGGGTAGCAGGGATCATACTCACTTTCACTTTTTACTGAGTCTTTGTTTGTGTATTTACACTTGACACTTACACTTTACACATAAATACAATAGTGGTGCGGCCGTGTGCTGCTCAATACTGGAGGTGGGAAAGTTCACCCAATAGAGTTTGTACATCCTCTATTCCTTTCCTTGCCTCCTCTGCTCACGTCTTAATCTCGCCCCGCGGGAGATGCGAGCAGAGGAGGCAAGGAAGAGATACGAGGAGAGAGGAGTCGAGGCCAGAGGTGTATAACAAAATGAGACATTTATCCTTTTAAAGAGAGTAAATATGACGTTTGTTGACATTTATAGCAATGAAGCTTATTTCCTCTCTGTCCTCCTCTCTGTGTCAGGTGTCTCTGCGTAAACAGGAGATCGCAGATCGCCTGAACGCCTGGATCATCTTCAACGAGAAGAACAAGGAGCTGTGCGAGTGGCTGACGCAGATGGAGAACAAGGTGGCGCACAACTCCGACCTCAACATCGAGGAGATGGTGGAGAAGCTGAAGAAGGTAGGAGGCTGCAGCAAAGACACGCCCCTCTGTTGCTTAGCCACCGTTTACAGGGAGGATTGGATTCATGTCAAGATGGCTGTGAATTCATCATCCTGATGAGCTGATAAGCAAAGTTCACTGAGTGAATGAGACGCTCATTGTTTGGTCGAAACCATGAACCAGCTGAAAGAGATGTAAAACAAGAAAGGACATTTAAAACACTTTGCAGTGTTCATTCGTAGTCATGGAATTTGAAGATTGCAATTTTCAGGCCTGGAGAAGTTTCAGAAAAATAAGTTTTGGAAAATACATGGGACTTATCTTCACGAATACCGTTATAATAAAGTATATCTAGTTCAGGTAAGATTGACCGAGAACACATCTGTATTACTGATGTCCTAGTGTTTTTTTAAATGCTTTAATCTCTTGACGTTACGTTGTTCTCTGCGTGACGCCAGACTTTTATTCTTATGTTTCATGAATACACAGATGTTTCAGAGAAAGAATGGTCATGAAAACAATGGTAAAAATGTGTATGAACCCTATGTATGTCTATGTGTATGTGTATATATATATGTATATATATGTATTTTGCCTCTGTTTATTTTGCTCCGTCACGCTGCACTGCTCTCTGTGGGAGGACATGTCCGGCTTTTCAAAAAGCTCTGAATTCCCCCCCGATTGTTCAAGAGACAACAGCTGTTTGAGCCCCGCGGGGCCACGCGGGTTTGTTTTGTGTTGAACTCTGATGCTTTTATCTCTTACTTATTGCCCTGACTGGGGGGGGGGGGGGGTAAATTGAGTGTCTCCTGCTCCGGCACACAGACTCCCGGCAGGAGTTGTGTTTCCTTTCCGGCAAACTTCCAAAGTCAGAAGCTTTCATGAGGTTTTCCTAAAGTGAAGATGAATCAAGTTAATGGTTTTACAAATTCTAGTAAAATAATTGTAGGTCACATGGTGTTTTAAGTAAGCACACTTTCTTTAAGTGAGGCTGATTTTTGTTTTCAGTGAATGTTTCATCTTCTGTTTCTTCTTACGCGAACCGTTGAAGCCATGAAGACTAGACTTAAAGAAATGATGATATGTTCATTTACAAATTCTTTAGACGAATGATTCAGTGTGTAATTCATGTCTAACACACTGGTGGTTTGAGATGTGAACGTGCTGCTTCTTATTCCTGCTCTTTGTGTTTCTCCGTCAGGACTGCATGGAGGAGATCAACTTGTTCAGTGAGAATAAAACCCATCTGAAGCAGCTGGGAGAACAGCTCATCACAGCCAGCAACAAGACGAAGGAGACGGGGGTCAACGACAAGCTGACGGACGTCAACGACCGCTGGCAGCATCTGTTTGACCACATCGAGAACAGGTAGGAAGAGACAAGATGGCGGGGGGAGCGGACCGGGGAGCAGTTAATGAGGCTGTTTGAGGCAGATTTCAGCCGAATGAATTCATGAGTTTTCATGTTTTCAAGTAGAGACTCTTGTCTTTATTCCACTGTAGTCAGAGTAGTGTTGCGGCTCGTAGTATGGCAATGGCACGGTCTGTTGGTCGCTCGCCTTGTTTCATTGTGAACAACTTTGTGACTGTGAAGAACAATTTGAGCTTTAGCGTCTCAACTTTAGCATTTAGTGTATTAGCATTCTGCGTGGTATTAGATTCCACATGCCATGTATGTTGCATGCTATCTAAAGATTGTAAGCATGCTTGGGATTTCACAAAAAATATATTAATGCTTCTCAGTGGTGGCTGTTTGCTGGAAGCTGCCGCTCATGTTATCGTCCTCCTGGCCTTTGGATCTCTCTTTAGAACGATGCACGCTCTGGGACGGTCTCTCCTGGAGGACGTTCGTGGTGCTGCTCTCAGTTGTACACATGGAAAGTGATGAAGCAGTTGTAGTGAGAAGTCCCAGCCCTGCTCACTGTCTCTCCTCCGAACACCAATCATTGCGTAACTCAGGCGAGATTGTTGCATTATTGGGTTCTTAAAGTTATGGACATTGCTGTTGCGACCGAGGCTGTATTTATGCCACAGATTTGGACTTTTGACTTCTCCTTTTGAATTTATACCATAATATGAATCTCCTGGATAATTATGTGTTGTCAACACACAGTTGATGTCAGAAGCTCTTTGCTCTCTTTTAGAAACTTTGCTTTCTCACAGTCAAACAGCACAGTAATTATTCCTGCAGGGTGGTCGCAGGGTGGCGGAGTGCACAACAATTACCGCTACATCTCTGGCCAAACAACAGGGCGGAGAGTTTTAGCTGACTTCTGCTCCTGATAATTTGTCTGTTTAGTGACCGTAAAGGACTCTATGTTCATAGATCCACATTGAATCACAGCAAAGTGAACTGAGTCAAGCTGAGTGGACTGTTTTCATGGAGCCAGATGGGTTAAAGCAGTCAGGGGGTGGGGGGGTGGGGGGGCTTATCCTTCATGGGAATGACTGACATAGATCGGCCATATGGTGGCTGCTTAGTGACCCCGGTTACGCTGTCTGTCCTCTCGGTTTCTCTCACACTTTGATATTTCATATCCTGACAAATGTGTCTTTTGAGACTCTTTGAAGAATCTCTGACATAAATGATCATTTATACACAGAAAGATGCAAAGAGCCAGCCTGGAGCTTGTGAGCTTGTGATTTACAAACCTAACTCCAGTTGTTTCTGAATGAAAGTGGTGCGTCTCTGTGCCGGTCCAGATGTTTTGTAGATCGATAGATTCTTTATTTTCCTTTCCCAATGAAACTCGCCACAGTGTGTACGAGTGTTGTTACGACACTGGAATCTCTAACTTTGATGCAAAACCTTCAAAAACATCAATATTCGATACCACGCAGAAAAATCGAGGGGATAGGATTTTAGATATTTATTAAAAGATAAATAGCGGTGTGTGTCAAGTCACAGCTGGTACTTGTGTATCGATACAGTTCACTAGTCTGTAAAACCTCACATAAATATATTATACACCACAACATGAATAGTAGAATATAAGCTCCTTTTGTTTACGTAGAAGAAACCTCCATGGACTGTTTTTAAAAGCATTCCTGTACCGGTGTAGCCGGTGAACTCTGTGTTCCATTGAAAATCACATCGTTCAGACTGTTCTGGTGAACACAAGCTCACGTAATGGCCCCTTTAATGTGGAAACATGTAAAAACATCTCATCTACTGTGGACACGGCCCGAGGAGGACGTGACTGAGTAAACAGGACCTCCAGTCAATGCACATATTGACAGAGAGGCACAAGGTGGACGAGGGTCTGCATCGTGATGATGAGATGCGCCCTCCGTCTTAAACAACAGCGGGACCGGAGTGGAGCGTGACACACAATAGTGGATTTGCCCCCCCCCCGCCCCCTCAGGGACTGACCAGCATAACGAGGCTAAGCCGGTTAATGAGCCGCCGCTGAGGCACGAGCCTCCAGTCTGTGATGGAATGTGCTGCTGTCACACTATTAATGTAGATGTTATGATGCCACAGCCATGGGCAGCACCTGTTCAGGTCGGTTCAGTTCACCCAAAGGTGCTGGATGGGGTCGGGGTCGAAGCTCTGAGCAGGCCAGGCCAGCTCTTTATGGACCAGGAGAGGGGCTTCCTCACTATGTTGACTCATAGTTGGAAGAACACGATTGTCTAAAATATCATTGCGTGCTGAAGCATTGAGATGTCTAAGGGACCTCAGTCAGGAGAAGGTTTGTGGACAGCCGTGCGTATCTCTAACCTATCAGCACTTCACTCAATATGTGTCACATGCTTCATGTTATAATGATCATCTTCTGAGGCTCAGGGTCAGTAGACTGCAGCCGCTAAGCTGATGAACATGGGGGGGGGTCTTCACAAGCTGCTTAACACGACCAGGGAACCATCGCTCCATCGTCTCGTCCATGTTGTTCTCCTCAAAACCTCCAGAGCAGTTTTAGGAGCAGATACAGGATGAAATGAGATTATTCTGTGTTTACAACCAGCCCAGCAATTCATTAATGACCAGCTTTAAAGAAAGTAGAAAGAAAGAAACAGGAAGTGCAAACTGATTCATTTCCTGGTTTTCCAACTCACCGCTGCATTACTCTATTAAAGTCAATCTGCAAAGTCTCTCTACTCTTAACCCCGTCTGCATTTCACTATTCACCTCCATGTTATCTCTATCTGCCCAACATGAAGAGAAGTCGTTTACTTCACAGACATGAGGTCTGCAGTAATGTGTCACACGTTGTGATAAGAGGAGCTGATTCAGAGTCAGTGACGACTGCCCCTCAGCCTTTTGTCTGCATCTCGCCGAACTAAGTAACGGCAGCTGAGCGCTGAGGTTTGACTTGTGGAGGGATTAGACGCGTTGACACTGGCCCGCCGCTCGCCTTTGTCCCCCAAAACAAACCGGGTGCTCCGTCACCCGGCGCAGCAGCTGCCGTCTGCTGACACGGGGCTTTGTGCTGACGGGCCCTCGGCCTTTGGGGGCCACTGGGGGGTGGAGGTGGGGGGGGGCACCGTCCTCTCTCGTCATTGTCTAAATAAGACGCATGCAAGGCAGATGTTTTTCCTTAAAACACACTGTTCCTCCTCACACCTGGCGCAGCGAACGTTACTTAAAGTGTCACACTGCGGGCTTTTCTTTCTGAGCTGCAGTTTGCTGAGTCGTTAATTTCAAGTGGAGCTCTTACATATTATTGAGTGTTTAGTGTTTAGTGTTGTTTGGCAGTTTAATGCTGATGAATTAAGACGACGCAGTTCTCACTCACGGCTCTCTTTTCAAGAGATGGTGTCGGTTAACACGTTGGTTTGTTGAGTCCGAACAAAGGAGGAAGTCTCCTCAGAGTTCATGTTAATGTGTGGTAGTGAAGTTCAAGTGTGCGTGTGTGTGTGTGTGTGCGTGTGTGTGTGCGTGTGCGTGCGTGGGGCAAATAAGGTGATTTAGATTCCTGGTGTTTAGACGAGATGACTGACTCCTGCCCTGCGGACTGAAGGTTGTTTTATTCTTCAGTTGACATGCAGATGTGTGTTTTTGGTATAAAGCTTCCAACACATCTGGATCCTGAAGCCACTTTAAGACGTTCAGCTTGTTAAACAAATGTTTTGAAGCCCGAGAACTTTTTACACAAAAGTCACGCTGGTAAATGTGAAGACGGTCGGATCGGGTAACGTTTCAACATCTCTGTCAGATTAACACAAAGAGGCCGAATACACAGAGAGATGCTAAATGTTCATTTATCAAGAGAGCTGTAAAACTCCATACCTTTTATGAACTTGTGAGAACATTTGAATTGAACATGCACTTTCAATTTCTGTCCACACCAGCTGCATGAAAGCGTGAATGAGTAGACGATAAAAGCACGAACACAAAGCATGAGAACAAGTCGGAGGAAAGATACAGGATAAAGAAAACACTCACGTGAATCTCTTTAACATTGTCACATGATTGACATTATTAAAAACTGTCTAGCTTGCCATCGTAGTAGGAAAGTAAAAAAAAAAACTTGCACCATGTTATGATTTTTTTATTTATGCTTATGATTGATGATTACCTTATTCAAGCCTGATTGTTTGCTTTGCACTAAAAAGATGCCTCCTATCTGCGATGGATATTAGGCATAATGTTGTGTATTGTAATTATTGTGGCCGGTATACTCGTCTCATATATCGCGCCACACCTTTGTCCTTTCAGTCCATGCTGGTGCACTGCATGGACATTATGAACGAGGCTGCAGAACTCTGTAATACATAAGTGATGAAATGTAGGATGAGAACAGGTATCGGATGATTCGGGGAAGCGGTGGCGAGTCTCCTTTTGGGCTCACGGTCGTTAATTAAGGATTCAACAGCAAGAATACTTCAATTGAATGAACTCATTCTGCCCGTCTTTTACATCTCGCTGATGTTTTTTCAGACGCTTCTCTCACCAGCTGCTGAATATCAGGTGATCTCTGTGTCTCATGTCTGAATCCAACCGTTACTGTAACAGACAGATGAAGAGCGGCGATGTAATGTAGGCTGTGTGTCTGAAAGGGGCTTCAGATTTACGGTTTCTTTCTCCGTACTTGTGTGCCATTCCTCTTCCTCCTCCTCCTCCTCTTCCTCATCCAAACCTCCTTCATCATTCCCTCCTGGTGATGTATCACTGAACCCCAGGCTGGTTTATTGGAAATGGAAGAAGGTGGCAGATGGAGGTTTTCTGCACACTGAGGCTCCCCGCTGGCCCTGTTGGTCCCATCCAAACACACTGCCAGCGATCGACAGCTGCACCTGTACTCCGCTCTAGAGCTGGACTCACTTTAATGGGCTTCTGGTTCTTTGTTGCTGCTCGTTGGCTGTTTGTTGTTATGTGATATTAGAGTTTCACAGATGTTTTGTTTCCATCTTGAAGATGTACTTTTCTCCTCATAAGTGCCCCAATGAAAGTCTTTGGTCCTGTTAAGCTGTTCATCTAAACATACACATAAAAACAGACAGTTAGACATATAAACACACCAAACGTAGGATTGGTACATTATCAAGTATTTCATTTTTTACCAACATTTTGTTGCACTAAAATTTACTTTGTGATCATTTAAAATTTTCTTTCAAAAGTGGAATTTTGAATATATTTTGTGGATTAAAAAAATAATCCTGCACTGATTTACTCTTCAGTGACATTCTGAGGCAAAGCTTTATTAACTCTAAGCTTTCTGCTTTTTAAAATACATCATATTTATCGCACTCACATGTTTAAACTCTCAGATAAAGGAGAAAAGAAGAAGAAGAAGAAGAAGAAGAGGGTACAAAGGCAATAATGATGTGGGACTGAATAATCATATTAATGGTACAAATGATCAAAACATGAATCGATAATGAAAATGATTTGGCTAGCTCCTGTTGCTCTGTGTCCTTGAGTGAACCTGTCACTGCATCCAGATGTTTGGCGAGAGGAGGAGGAGGAGGAGGAGGAGGAGGAGGAGACAGGCGGACTGCAGGGGAGGAAGGGGAAGGGAGGGATGGAGTAAATGGGGGGTTGTGCTTGCTAGCGGACGAGCTATCACCATGGAATAGCCTCCTCTCACCAGCCTGTAAGTACCTTTCGCCCTCATCGCCACCCGGCCAGCACGAGACTGAGGTGGGCGGATGAAAGGGGAGCAGATCGGGTGTTTTGTTGTGATAAAGAGGAGGAGGAGGAGGAGACACGGAGATCAGGAGCGAAGGGGGATGGGCTGGGCTTTTGTCGGTGCAGGCATGTAGACATGCAGAGTCATTCAGAGCAAATTCAATTGAGACCGCCGGCTCCCTTCTTCTTGTGTGTGTCGGAATTTAGGTGGCAGCTTGGGCGGCAGGTGTGTGTGTGTGCGGTTGTGTGTATGTGTGTCGATGCAACGAGCACCACACATACCATGATCGCAGCACCATGTCTTATATGTCGCTGATGCATCTCTCCGCTTCGTCGTTTACTGCCACATCCTCAGATACTGCAGAGACATGAAACGCCTACACACACGCACACACACACACACACACACCCACACACACACACACACACACGTGTGCGCAGCTGCATCAGGAGCCAAAACACATCCCTACAGTGTCTGCTGTTGCAGCATCTGAGATTGTTGTTGCTTGTTGCTGCTGTGTTGCATCATTCTGCTTACATGGATACCTGGAAGCATCTGAAGCGTACACACGTATCTCCAGTTATTGAGGTCATTAATGGTAATGTGCGTTGATCGTTGTGATCGTTGTGCACAAGCGTTCCTCTGTACCACGAGATGCACTGACCTTGTTACCGCTGTCCTGTGAGACTCATGTTTCTCCACGTTTGGTTCTTTTTCACATCTTCAGATGAACTATTCAAAGTCATTCATAAGAGGCTCAGAAAATCCCCATAAAACCTTTTCTATTGTCTAAAAGAAGCATTTCTCCAAGATATAAAACAAGAGTTGTAGAAAGGCAAAACCTTTGGGTTGTTGACGGGTCATTTGGGCAGCGCTGGCCCTTTCTTTGCTCCTGTGATTGAGCGTCAGAGAAAAAGGTTTTTTCAACTCAAAGTGCTGAGAAAGTATCCTCAGGGTTCCCAAGCATCCTAGAAAACCGGGAAAACAGTTGACCAATATTCCAGTCATGGAAAATGAGAGAATAAGTCCAAATGTCCTGAAGAATCTTATTTTCCTTTAGCTGAGAAGGATCTACTCGTCTGTCTATCAGAACAGGTTGAACTTGTGTTCAGGATCAGATCAACGTTTGAATGCTGGTTTGTGTACGAGAGTGCTGTGAACAGGTTCTCATGGAAACGCTGTGAACACGTCACATGCTAGCACATGGTGGTTGGACGTCAACTTGAAAATCGGAATAATGTCAGTTATACATTATCCTTCAAGTGTAGTAATCAGTAGGTCACTGCTGGCTGGTAGCTCTCTTTAATATACAATGTTAGGATCAATTTGTCATTTCTAAGCACGTAGGATCTGATTTCATGGAGAAGGACTTCCTTGCCTCTCATAACAGCAAGATCATCACTGGAAAAGTCCGGAAAAATATTTCTAGAACAGAGTGGGAACCCTGATCCCCACTGCTAAACATGTGGTTGATCTTCACCGTCACGATCTGAATGACGTAACCTACAATATATATTTTTTGGAAATGACAGACCTCCAGACAGAGTGCAATCTACACACACACACACACACACACACACACTGGTACTCAGCGCTCTCACCGGCTGCAGTCACATGACGGTGCAGTGTCGCCCCCTCTCTGCATTGTGCTGGTTTGTTAAACGATGTAGTTCACTGACCTGAGAGCTGAACTGGAATGCAGTCTCTCCACCCAGACATCCCCCGGCTCTCAGCTGGATGTAGGTCAGCCCACCGCTCCGCCATAACAGCCCCCGTTGTGTCATGACGTGAGAACGACAGCGAGCACTTCCCAGACTCTGACGAAGCTGCGGCGTAGAGCCGAGCGTCGCGCTAACAATGGTTCGGGTGATGGGTGTGATTGTCGCCGTGGGCAGCATGTCTGCTCTGGGAAGTGAGAGTTGTCTTCACACTGCAGTGTGCTGTGTCTGATTATTTTCAACTCTTATGAGACATCTGATGGTTTTAAACAGGAAAGATTTTGCTTTTTTTGTACACCAATGGAGCTCTGATACACACACAATACTTGTGATAGATAGATGGAGGAAAATATGCGATAACAATTATACAATCCTTAACCAGCGAAGCTCCAGCGACGCCTTCCTGTAACGTGATGTTTTTCTCTCTCGGCAGGGTGAGAAAGCTGAAGGAGACGCTGGTGACGGTGCAGCAGCTTGATAAGAACATGAGCAACCTGCGGACATGGCTCTCTCGCATCGAGGCGGAGCTGGCCAAGCCGGTGGTCTACAACGTCTGCCACAGCGACGAGATTCAGAGGAAACTGTCCGAGCAGCAGGTGGGCCAAGACGGAGTAGTTCTTGTTTTATGGAGCAGCAACTCTCAGTCATGAGAGTTGTGGTCAAATATCTAGTAGAAGAGTAAGTGGAGTTTCCTTTAGTTCAGCCTCTTAGTGATGAAGACCATGAAGTCAGCTGCTGTTCAATACAGAAGCAAAGGGGAGAAGTTTTCTCAGGCCACCGTGGCTGAGGCTGATTGGTTTTGTTGTAATTAGAAGCTTTCACCAAAACCATGCTGACAGAAACCAGGGACGTCTCCGGGACAAACAGAAGAAAATGTCCAAATGGTAATTCCCAGCGGTCCTCAGACCTCCTACCTCTATATAACAACCGTAAAGGCTTAAAAAGCTTTGAGGCAGACTGGAGACTCCACTTTGAGGGGAGACACCACATGGCACTTTGAGGGGAATTTTAGGGGCAGGAAGTATAGCTAGTGATGCACGCCTGCTTTTAAACCGTTTATGTGACGGCCACCCCGTTGTGGTCCGCAGCATAATAACAGAAGAGTAGAGTAATGCTTGCTGCAAAGTAAAATCTCAGCGAGCAGCAGCAAGATGGATATTTGTGAGGGAGCTGTCACACTGGGCTGAGAGACGGTAAATGCACTCGACAGCTCGGCCTCAGCCGGCGGCCCAGAGAAAGGAAATGGACTTTCACCAGTTTGTCCGTTCTGTATCCTACCGAACTCTGGTACCTTCCTAACAGGAGAAAGGTTTCTTGGAAAGAGAGGCGGTGGATGGCTCGGAAGGTTCAGAGAGAGACAGAATGAGATTTGATCTCTGGCTGCATGGTCAGAAGGATGGAAGCCTTCGGCTATCGCTCTGACATCAGACGAGCCTCTGGGGTCAACGGATATCCGGGCCAAAACCTCCTTTTCCTTGTGCTCATTATTTACAGTCCCAATATCAGCTTGAGATGCATAACTGGAGTTGGAGTTAAGAGACGACGTGTACGACCAGATTGCTTCAAAAGTAGCCTGTTTACGAGCTAATTTTAAAGAAATAAAAAGCTAACCTATTGTCAGACGACAGCCGGTGGGTTCCCCGATGCATCGCGCCTCTTTTACTCTCCACACGGACTGTTTATGTGCATTCAACCACGCACCACAAACAGATTCACGCATCAATGCAGAAAGCTGTTTTATAGAGATTAGAATAGAAGTGAGATGAATGAATGAATTTGCCAAAGTCACAGCAACATATCAACTCAGACAATAGTGCTCAAAAAGCACAAACTAAATGTAGCCTTTTTTACAAAGAGCATGACATGAGTAAATGGCGGGAAAATCAAAAGAATCGCTGGTGAAATGATCGCTTCAAAAGACCTTAGTCGACAGTTCCACCCTGATATTTATAACCTTTGTGATCTGTCAGCATGCATTTATAGGAACAAGAGTTCTCATTTGACTGTGCCGCTGTCTGACATGTTGTCAGACCTTCAGCCTCTTTATGATGAGCTGAGGCGCAGTATTTGGATTATTTGCAGGGTTGATATTTGTCTGTATAGTTAACACGAGGCTTCATTCACCGACGCTCCGCAGCATGAAACGGTAACGCCGGGCTGCATCTGAACGATACAATCAATTACATCGAAACAAATGACGGTTGTCCAACTTTTCCCCAGAAACTCAGTTCCTCTACTGTCACCGTGTGTCCATGACAACATCTGTTCTATCTGATCGCAGCTCTGACTTCGGTGCAGACACAGGAGTATTTTAAGAACACTTAGCTCTGAAACACCACAGCAACCGTGAACCAGAACCACGGCTGCGTCATCATTGGTCATCGCGGTGTTTTCTGAAAAGCTTAACATTTTCTTAGATTTCAAAGTGCTGTGCTCCGCCCAACACATGTCAAACCGAGTGCTTCCTGCAGACATTTCTTTGTTCATTGTCAAAACCTGCAGGTTCCAGGAGAGTTTGGATATTTCTTGCTCTAGTTTTATGATTGATTTTGAGGTCAGATGCACTTAATTTCACAGAATGATAATAAAGGAGGATGCTGGCTCATTAGTTGAGGCACTGAATTATCTCTTTGCTAATCATTTTCTCTCCTCTCAAAAATACTGAAATATTTGCAATGAGGAGAGTGACAGAAGAACAATATACGCCTGAGTCTTTAACAGCCTGTCTGGATTTGGACGCGGACATATCTGAGGAAAGAGTTCATGAAAGAGAGGGAGAGAAACGTGTGACAGACACGTGAGGAAGAGATACAGAACAGAGCCGGGGTGAAAGCCAAAAGAGAGAGACGCTCCCTCAGAGGAAGGCTGCAGCGCTCTCCATTAGTGGATGACGGACGGCTGAAATGACTCCTGTGTGGAGGGGCTCTTTAAGCTTTCATCTGTCACCATGGCAGCCCTGGAGAGTGGTAACTGTGAACAAACGAGAGCCAACAAAAGTGCTGTCAGGCTTCATAGGGAGCTACGCACACACACACACACACACACACACACACACACACACACACACACAC